AAAGGATTTACCGATAATAATGGGGAGATGTGTATGAAAATTTTGAAGAAATTGTAGCCGAAGAAATTATATAATATTTTTATTCTTATTCGTGAGACGACTAAAACGGCGTTCTCCTTTGGAAAAAAAAGAAAAACCGCATTTCTTTATTCTTATTCGTGAGACGAATCAAACGGCGTCATCCTATGGACATAAAGCCGCATTTCTTAATTCTTATTTAAAGTCGATCAAGATAATTTATTTTAGGCGAAAATTTTATAGACACCAAAATAAGCGGAATGTTTAAATATATAGTTTGGAGCAAATGAAAAACGTCAGATGTGTATTTATATTTCGTATATTATTGGTCATATATTATCAATCACCCCTAACACTTGGGTTTAGTAATGGGTGGCGTGTTGTAATGTACACTTTTTTAATGTATATTTTATTTGATAAAGTGATTTATTTTAACAGATGTATTAATTTTTATGTAAATGATGATATTTATTGCATTAACGAAATTGTAAAGATCACTTTTTCATTTTATATAAACTTTGGATAATTTAATTTTATAATAATAAAAAAAATATAAAGAGAAAGTTAACAAAATTTTAACTCAGAGTATCGCTATCAGAGGCGATACTCTTATTCCAATAAAATATATATGTTAAATTAAATAAAATTTCAATAATTATTAGATTCTTTTATTCAATTTATAAAAGATGAATATTCTATTTAAATTACAAATATGAAAATAACAAATTAAAATATATTACCTCTAAAGTTTTATTTAAAAAATAATATAAACCAAAAAACAAAAAAAAATTAGCTATCAAAAAAAATCTACGTAAAAAATAAATATATCAATCAAAAAAAATATGTAAAAAATAATATAACAAATTATAATATATTATTTCAATATACTTAAAAAAAAATATCAAAAAAAATATATTATATATTACCTCTAAAGTTTTATTTAAAAAATAATATAAACAAAAAACAAAAAAAAATTATCAAAAAAAATCTACGTAAAAAATAAATATATAAAAAAGTAATTATAAAAAAATATATATATAAAAAATTATATTAAAAAAAAAATATCAATCAAAAAAAATATATAAAAAAATAATTATATTAAAAAAAAATATCTATCAAAAAAAACATGTAAAAAAATATATAACAAATTATAATATATTATAATATATTAAAAAAAAATATCAATCAAAAAATATATTTAAAAAGTTAATATAACAAATTAAAATATTATATCAAAAAATAAATTAATATTAAATAAATAATAAATTAATATTAAATAAATAATAAATTAATCTTAAATAAATAATAAATTTATAAATTTGTAAAATACACATTGCCTAAAATAACCAGGCAATGTTCACATTGCCGAAATCTCACATTTACATTGCCTACCACTACCTCACATTGCCGAAAAAATTCCACATTGCCGGAATTTTCACATTGCCGCTAACATATACATATTATGATTATAAAATAAAGATAATTTTTTTACTACTTATTAAATTTTTTGTGATAAGAGTTAGAGATCTGCAAAGCCCGAGTCCTCGGGCCTAATTCTATTTAAAATAATTGTGTTCGGGCCAGCCTAATATTTTTAAAAAAATTTCGGGCCGGGTCGGGTCGGACTTTGGAAATTTTATTAAATATATCTAAATTTATCAATTTTATATTGAATTTTTTATGTAAAATAAAAATTTTTGATTTAATTTATTGAAACTAAACGCTATATAACATATGTCTTTTATTTTAAGTAATTATAAGAATTAATTTCTATATTTAAATAAATTCGGGCCTGGCCGGGCCGGCAAAACTTTTTTAAAAAAATTTCGGGCCAGGCCAGGCTAAAAAATTAGGCCCGATGCAGATCACTAATAAGAGTTATCAAGACTTAATGGTTGATTATTTTTATTATATTCCCTAGCTTTCTTAATGAACTCTGTACCCTTGGATTATCTTATGCTATTCAAAAAAACGTATATCCTAAATAGCTTGATTTTTTTAATTAAAATATCTGATATCTCTAGATTCCCTTCACCATTTCAGAGCTTTCATTTTACAAAATAAAATAAACTAATCTTTTTAAAATAATTAAACTTATGAATTCTAATATTATAAATATAAATGTAATAACAGGCCACTCCTGAATGAAAGTTTATTAATGCTTTCTATTTTAACATGTTTTATTTGAACTTATTTATTATACATGCATTACTATTATTATATAATAAGAATTTGACTCTAGAGTAAATAATTCTTTTTCTATTATATTCTCTAGCTTTCTTAGTGAATTTTAGTCCCTTAGATGATCATGAGCATACTCAAGAAAAGTATGATAACCATTAAAAGCCTAATTTTTTGTAATTAAATTATCAAATATCTCTAGATTCCTTTCATCAAACTCAGAGTTTCATAACTTTCTATAAAAAATAAGATTAATTAAAATTTTTGAAGTAATTAAACCTTCCAATTCTAATCTTATTTGATTACAAATGTTCTGATCAACCAATATACCAGGATAGCTAGCATCATCGTCGTGTAAGGCATATCAAATATGGGATAAAATTCAACTTCATTGTCAGTTAGTACCATATCATATCAGCCTCCGATTCCCAATCAAATGCCATAGACTTAACAAAAATAGCTTTAATTGTGGTGTTGTCACTCACCCCTAATTTTTAAGCCCGGCCAGGCCAAATTTTTTAAAAAATGTTTTGCCAGCCCGGCCCAAACTTTTTTTGAAAAAATTTATCGGCCCGACTTTATTTAAATTAGAAATTCATTTATAATTACTCAAAATAAAAGATATATGTTATATGGCGCATAGTTTCTATAAATAAAATCAAATATTTTTATTTTATATAAAAAATTTAACGTATAATTGATAAATTTAGATATATTTAAAAACCTTTCCAAGGCCCGACCCGACCCAGGTTTTTTTAAATAATATTAAGCCCAACCGAGTTTGAACCTATATTTTTTAAAAAATAGGTCCGCCCCGGTCGAAAGCTCGTTTGGGTAGGCCCTATTTATGCAGATCTCTACTTGTCACCTCATCCCATGCAAATTTTATAAGATAGGGGCTATCAAAAAGTGTAAATCTTTTATAAAAAGAGTTGGTGTTATTTCCTTTCATCATTGTTAGCATCTTTCTCATGATACCCTTTATATAATGACATTTGAAGGACCTAATTGCACCCATGTCCAAAGGTTGAATTAGAAATGTGGTATTTGCTTGTAAAAAAAGTTAATTTTATATTATTAAATGTTAATTTTATATTATTAAAAGTTAATTTTATATTATTAAATGTTAATTTTGTTTTGTTACAAGATGCATTGTCACAAAACAATAAAATTTTCTTCATTATAATGATAAATCCCATACTCTTAGAATATCTTCAAAAGTTAAAATTGTCACATAACTGCTTTTATTAGAGTAGTATTTAACTGGTAATTTTTCATTTTTTAAGCACCTAGGCTTTTTAAATTCCCTTACAACATATAACTTTTTATCAGATCCATCTCCATTTTTGATAAATAAAACGGAGACCTTTTCATTGACAGGTTTGAAGCCCAGTGGTTGAGTTCCACTAAATTCCAATATGCCCTTTGGTAATTCTCGGTAGTATAGTCTTGTCATATCACAATTGTAAATATTAATCCTTGATAATCTTTAATTATGGGAGTGTATTTTTACTCCACTCATTTACATTAATAATATCTGCACTCCCTTTTTTTCATTGCAATTATAATAAATCTATATTCTGTCTTTTCATAATTCTCCGCAACTAGCTGCTAATATGAATGCCTATGATGTATAATTATATATATCATAAAATATAAACTTACCTTCATTGTTTGGCTAAAAAACATGCTTTTTCTAACATCACTTGCCCATTTGGACTGCAATTTTTACTTCGCATTTGGGTAAACCAAACTAATAACGTTGCTTCTGGCATTGAGTAACAACTCATTCTAACTCTTTTAGTTGTAGAGGATTTATTCCATAGAAATTGTGAGCATGTACTTGCTTTATTAGCTTCCAATCTGTAAAATATGGAAACATGTCATTTAAAACTTAACGCTAATTGTGTTTTTGAAAGAGTGCTTAGTTTTTCAATAAGTTCTCCCCTTTTGCTTTAGGGTTAACGTTTGAAAAGATGTTTTATTCAAAAAATAGTTTCTTTCGATAAAATTTTTTTATTTTTTCACTTATCCTATTAAATTAACATTATTCACATATAAATAGTAAAAAAAATTCGCAATTATCCGATATTTAGCAAATAACCGATTTGCAATTATAAATGCATAGTAATTTTTATCAAAATCGCAGGGTTTTTTTTTCATTTAAAAGTGTTAGCACTTAATCCATATGCAATTAAATGATTTTGACTGTATATTTGATTTACAAATTCTCGGAAGGTCCAATAAATTTATTTTCATATAATATATTTATAATTTTATAAATCTTGCAGAAGAATTATTGAATGACGATCTTTTAAAAAATTTTTCATTAGTTCACTGTATTTATTTCTCAAAAAGTGAATAAAATACAATTTATATATATTTATTGAAAACTTTAAATATTTATTTATTTTTATATTAATATATAAATATTTATTAATAATTACAATTTTCTTATATGATGCTATGATCACCCCCCCCCCCATTCCCATTAATCTCTCCATCTCATTATAAATAATATCTGAATAATGTAATGTATTCGATTGTTTTGAATAGGCTTAGATTTAAAGTTGGCGAAGATTCCATCATGTTCAGAATTGAGACGATTTTTTAATAGGCTCGCACTGATTCATTAGCACAAGTCATAATATAACTAAAAAATAATATTAAATATTTGAAATTTTCCAAAAAAAGAAAATTAATATTTGCTTTTTGAAAGATAATTAAATAAATCACTTTATATTTTTACTATAATAATAATATGTAAAGTAAAAGTATAATAAATAATATTATCGATAAAGTACCTTCAAATGTATATAATAATGAATAAATATCATTAATTTATTTTAATATATAAATTATTTAATATTATAATTTTTCTGTGCAAAAATTTGAAAATAGAATTTTAAAATATATCATTTTCCCGTGGAAATTGGCATTAAACAATTTTTTTATCACAGTGCTGCCATTCCATAAATAATTAATTTTAAATAAACATGATCAATTAAAAAATAATTAATCCTTTAAAATTATTATATTCAATTTTTTCAGGTTTAAAATTTTGCATAGTCATTTTAATTTTTTTAAAAAAATGTCACCTCCAATTTAGTATTTGCAAACCCTAATTCGATTAATCATTTAAATATTATCCCGAAATCGAAAACAGAATATTTTTAAAAACTGTAATAACGCGATATACCCTTCCCATCTTTATAGTTAGATTGGGACAAAAAAAGGTAATAATTAGGAAATATAAAAAAAAGTGTTCAGAATATTTGCATAAATTTTTGGTAATTTTCATCTCCTAAAAATGATAAGATCATCAGGTTTTGTAATCGATCTTTTTTGTCGAGTCTTAGAAGTGTGATAGGCTTTGTTCATTTGATCAACCCGGTTGTCTTCAGTCATTTGACCACTTCTTATTATTTTATTCTAACAAAAAAATATATAAATTAATTTGTAAAATTTGTTTAACTTTTATAATTTCTATAATGTAAATAAATAAATGTCAACATTAAAGAAAAACTCGTAAGGGATATGAATAAGAGATTATGTGACTTTCATTATTTTAGGTAAAGTACCAAAGAATGCTTCAAAAACATATAGTATAGGACTAATCTATAGTATGATTAGTTTATATGAGATGGCCATGGTTAACTTAATATAAGAACAGCCATGCAAATAATAAAATTAACGAAAGTAATAGTCACTTATTTTGGTTACAAAAATAATAATTGAACTAAAAAGATGTTAAATGAGTCAAGAATGAGCCTAATTGCCTATTTTTCAATAAAAGAGGGAACATTATAAGCGCCAAAGGAAAAGAGGATACTCCGCCAATTCTTTTACCAAAAAAAAAAGATATATAAAACTATATTTAGAAAAGAATAGAATTTGCTTAAGTTCGAGTGTCGTCCGGCAGAATCCTTGCCGAGTAAGACTTAAATGGGAGGGAATAATATATGAAATTATATGATATGTAGTTTAAATATTAAGATTTAAAAAAAAATTGATGTAAATAAGTATAATATGACTAACGAATAGGATATTAAGTGCATCCAAATCATTGAAGTTGATTCGAAACGAATGTTTTCCTGTTACAATTTGATTATCAGAGTCATCTAATTCGTTTTTAATAAAAGAATATAACAACCCCAAAAATTATAAATTTAAACAGCTATTTTTTTCCTATGAAATTAGATTTTATAAACATAGTTAAACTTCTTTAAAAGGGGCTTATGAATAGCTTCCAATAATTTTATTTGAGGACCTTAGGCCCGTTTTTTGCGGGCCTTTGGCTTGGTTACATTTTTTTTAATTTTAATTTTACACTTTTTTTTCTGAAAAATTTAAATTAGTCATTCGTTTAATTATCCTATAATAATTTTTTTAATGATTATTTATAATGATATAGAGGGTGGTAAGGAAGATACCTTTTTATTATGTAAACTTGCATATTTGCTAAGGAAATAAATTTCCGTGCTAGAAAGTTCTCATTAATTGTGAGAAATGAAAATTTTATTTAAAGTGTCTTGTAAAATAACTCATCCTTATTAGATTTATAAAAATCGTTACTTCTAATTTCTTACCCTCTTCTTTTCTTATTATTTTCAATTAATTATAATTCTCCAATCCGATATATCTTTGTGTACCTTCAATTGAATCATCCTGCACACCATTGTCATTCAACTCCGTGTCCTTTGTTTTCCCGGTTTTCATATCTACGACAAACGCCGTATCATCATTATCCTGTAAGATTAAAAAAGTACGTAAAATAATTTTGAATTTAAAAAAATAGATAAGTTTTATTTTAAAAATCGTATTAGTGCACTTTATTTAATTTACTGAGCGGGAATTCCATACCAAATCGATAACTCTTCGGCCCTACCTTTTTAATTTCGATAAAATTGTGCATGCTGATAGAATATGATTAGAAAGCATCGAATCCAAAATTTTAGCCTCCTAGTACTCATAGTTCCTGAGATATCAATGGTCAAAAGTGTCAAAAATGACCTTTTTTGGAAAAATACGATTTTTTAAAATGGAGATAAGTTAAAAAATAATGATTTTAAAAATATAAGTTATATGTCATTTTGTAACTCTATTAAAGGCCTTTTATTAAATATTAAGGATTTTTTTGAAATAATATTGTTGCGGTTTTTATTTACTAAACATGAAAACTCCAGATGTTTCGCTTTCCAAATCTTTTTGAATTTAATATTTTTTTATTCTCTAACCTTATATCTATTCATAGAAAAAATTTAAACTTGGGACAGCCATGGGTTTTTAGTTATTACGATTTAAAAAAACAAAAAATAAATATTTTCTTCAAAAATAGATGACGCTCCTTTATAAAATAACGTGTTTTGTTAAGATTATTATTTTTTTTAACTTTTTTTTATTTTTAAACATAAATAATAAGATTTTACAGCATTACTATCATGAAAAAATATTATATAGATCGTTTGATAGGCTTACTTATTATTATTATATTGATAACTTGTAAAAATTAGTTGTTTTTATAATAAATGATTAAATTTCCTAAAAAGATAGTTAAGATTCCAATATCTCCTACAAGAAAATATGATAATTAATTGTTGAAAGATAAAAGCAAGTTCTCACCTGCCCTAATATTAATTAATTTTTATTTTACAAATATTTTGATATTAATTATTTTTCTTTTTAAAATTATTTATAATGTATAAATATAAATGCGTATATCCTTTTAAAGAATCTAAACACTTTAATTATAAAAAGAACCCGCGTAAAGTCATGACGTGGATGACACAATATCCAAGCATACTATATTTGTGATAAATGTCGTAAAAGGTTATCACAAAAATTATTGAAAATATAACTATTCTGATAGCTAATATGTAAATAATATCAACACAGCATCAACATCAATAGATATAATCAATATAACTTTAAACGAAATTGGAAAATCTCCTATTAAGAAAAAAAAACTAACCGAAAAAAATTATCAAAAAAAAAGGATAGCGAAAATATAAAAAGCTTATTTCAGATATAATAATTAACAATCCAGAATCGGGTACAAAAGATAATAATGATATTAATCAATAATATGAAATTACAATATCCTAATTTATCTAAAAATAAAAAAATATCAATTGCTGACCATTCTGCCTCCTAATTGGAGCGCAAATAAAATAAAAACGACATTCAACGCTACATAATCAAATGGCATAGAATTCCAAAATCGTTTTAGAAGAAAAGGAAATTCTTTCAACTCCAAATCGAAAGCCTGCAAAAATATCTCAATCAAAAAACAGTTGATATTGTTTAAAAAAAATTTTGCAGTGATGAAGTTAAAAAAAGATTGCATAATCTAGCATTAAAAAGGGGGAACGAGTGAACGCTCAAAAAAGGTTAGTTCTTAATAATTTGAAAGAATTATATAATTAAAGGCAAGTAATTGTTTAAAACTCAACACTAAACTATATTCTAATTCGCAGACGATCAATTAATCGATGAGATTAGAGGATATGTAACATGTGCATATGAAATGGTGGTTAGGATTTGTACAAGCAGCGAATGTAATTAGAGATGAAGTAAAAATTAATTTTCTTCACCCTAAAGGACCAACAAATTCTTCTGTTTATCCAGCTGCGCAAGATATCCTTTTCATACCAAAAAATAATATTTTAACAATAGTTAGCCTATCAACGGCTACTGGGCGTACATATAATTTATACCAACACGAAATTATCATGGCGTCAAAAAAACTAAATTTAATGAAAAACTGAAAATAGGTAATATCTTTCATGAATTTTAATTTATCTATTATATCTACAAAATTTATAAAATTTTAGAAAATTAAAATTTTTTATAAGAAAAAAATAATTATAACCGCAGCTAAATATCTCATTTCATGATATTAATGATAGAAAATCTCGCTATTTATGTTTAAAAATAGGAAAAAGTTTAAAAAAATAATAATCTTAACAAAACACGTTATTTTATAAAGGAGCGCCATCTATTTTTTAAATCCCAATAACTAAAAAACTCATGGTTGTCCCAAGTTTAAATTTTTTTTTATGAATATATATAAAGTTAGAAAATAAGAAAATATTAAATTTTGAAAAGCGAAACACCTAAAGTTTTTATGTTTAAAATTAATAACGTAAATAAAAACCGCAACAATATTATTTCAAAAAAATCCTAAATATTTAATAAAAGGCCTTTAATAGATTTACAAAATGACATATAACTTATATTTTTAAAATCATTATTTTTTAACTTATCTCAATTTTTAAAAATCGTATTTGGCACTTTTGACTGTTGATATCTCAGGCACTATGAATACTAGGAGGCTAAAATTTTGGATTCGATGCTTTCTAATGATATGCAAAATTTTTTCGAAATTAAAAAGGTCGGGCCTAAAAGTTATCGATTTGGTATGGAATTACCCGAGCCTCAGATAATATAGGCACTTTAATTTACTAAATTGAGCATAATTTTAATTGAATTTAGCCATAATAAATATTATTGAAGGCAAGAAAAAAATATTGGAAACTTGGGTAGTCAGATTTTCGAACTGATCTTGAACGAAAGATTGATTGGCATAGCTGGGAAGATTTTGGGCAGAAGGTTGGATATCTATAATAAATTTTTTTATAGCATTTCTTAATTCTAAAATTGTATCATATACCTTGTAGGTTTAATTATTAGGAAGGGGAGGGGAGGGGGGTGATTAAAATTTGTATGTGACCCTTAAAAGGTCAGGTAGGGAAATAACGAACCGGGCTGGGATATTCATATATAAAAAAGCGGGATAAACCTTGCAAATCTCGGATTTTGATTATGATTATTCTTCGAAAAACAACAATGAGCTTATTTCTTTTCATTTTATTTTAAGAATAGCCCAAACTAAATTAATAAATAAAATTTAAAAAAAATGATTCCTTATTATATAGAAAATTAAATGCCAGGCCAAACATTTCACAAATTTAATAAGCCAGCCTGGGCAAAAGTTGATATATTTTTTGAAATTTAAGCTACTACTTTGATTTAATTAATAATATTTGTAAATAAATTACAATATGCTTATTGTATATTAAGAACTATAACTAAAATATTAAATAAAATAGTAAATTCACAAAAGTAAACAAATTATTTATATCATCCAATTTCAAATACAGATATCAAATCAAACGATTTATAAAAGGTTGTTATAAGAATAGATAGTTATAGAGTAGATATAAAGGCCTATGGGGAAAAATTATACAGATATTAAATATATGAAGGATGGGAAATTTGTACAAAAAAATTTAACAAGCTGGATTGAACTTTTTGTAAAATTTTAACAGAGGTATGATATGTAAAATTATAATGGGACAGGCCAGGAAATTAATAAAAAATTGATTGGGCTTGAATGAGCTGGATAAACATTTAAATATCGAGCTTAGCTGAACAATTTGTGCAAAAAATCTTAGCAGGTTAAAGGGTCATTCCATGTCAAATGAGCAAAAAATCAAGATTTAAGGCCGACTTCTTTCAATTTCGATAAAAAGTTGTAGACTGGTTATATATGTTTCCATTAGATTATAAACAAAATTTTAGCGCATTAGCAATTATATTAGCGGAGATAATCAGGGATAAAGGTCCAAAAAACGTGATTTTTTTGTTTTTTACTGATGTTAAATAATTAGTTTTTTATTTAAAACTAAATATGATCAAATATTTAATCTAATATCAATAGCTAAGTTAATAATTGATAATTATGGCGAAAACATCAAAATAATTTTTTTTAAAATATGGGTCATCTTATGGTCAGTTGAAAATTTGAAATTAATATTTCGAAATTTTATAAAATTTTTGGTATCAAATGAATTTGAGCATTCTCTATAAAAAAAATTTTCTGATTAAAGTCTTTGTAAGCAAATGTTTAACACTGAAAAAATTAATAAAAATAAGCCAGCTGTTTTTATCTTTTCTTAAAATTATAAAAAATTAACTGATTAGAAAAATTAATTAGCGAATTAAATCGATAAATCGCAGTTGCTAAAAATACAAATTGATTTCTTTAATATTTTTTCACAAAAACTAATTTTTTATATTTTTACTTGTCGTTAAAAATATATAAATTTTTCTAAATGAAACCTTTAAAGATGAGCTAAAGTATTGCAATCCACTGAATAAACCAAAACATAAAAATTTTTAAAAATCTAAGATTACTGAATGCTTAATATAAATAGTGGTTTATATCAACAAAAAATATGTAATTAGTGCCGATACTTAACTAAAATTGGTCCACACATTCCCGAAGAATTTATATCCCCAATAACCCATAATCAGGATGCCTTTGAATCGATTAATGAAACATTACACAATATTGGAGAATCACCAATTAAAAGAAAACGTTTAATGGAGAATAAATATCCTAAAAATAAAATTCAAAAGATTGAAAAAGCAATAAAGAGTAAGGTTTTAGAAATATCTGATTCCGAGATTGATAGTCCAATGAAAGAGGAAATTCTTATTATATTAAAGGATAACTTTGATAAATCAAAAAATCAACAATATCAAATTCTTAAAATTTTGCCTCAAAGATGGAGTGTATATAAAATTCAAGAGGAATTCAACGTAACATCATACATGACAAGAAAATCCAAAATGGTGGTAAAAGAAAGTGGTCTTTTTTTCCCAAAACATAAGGCAGGAAAAACACTAAACGAAAAAACATTTAAATTCGTCAAAGATTTTTATAGTTCTGAAGAAATAAGCCGACTCATACCCGGAATAAAAGATTGTGTATCTGTTAAAGGCGAGAAAGAACCAATCCAAAAAAGACTTATATTAAATAATCTTAAAGAAATATTCAAGATGTTTAAGGAAGAATACCCAAATATATCAATGGGATTCTCTAAATTTGCCGAACTTAGACCAAAAAACTGTATTTTAGTTGTAGCTAGTGGCACACACACTGTTTGTGTCTGCGCCAATCATCAGAATGTGAAATTAATGACAAATGTAATAGCTGAAATTACAGCAGGAGAAGATTACTGTATAAATTCTTATAACTATCTTTTGGGGCAAATTATTTGTAATCCATCTCAGACAAATGTTATTTAACAAATTGTGATGAACGCCCTGGTATAAAATCTCTTAAGGGCCAATTATACCATATTTCAGAGAAATCGTATAGAATATGTCACGTTTAAACAATGGATCACGGTGGATAGAGCAAATCTTGAAACTATTATAAAGTCCGTTGATGATTCCTCGAATATCTATTAGAAAAAGTTCAAATTTTACTGCGTCACTCATTTATAGCTAAACAACAAAGTTTATTTTTGAAGAATTCCAAAGAAAATTTAAAAGATGGGGAATTTTTAACAATTCTAGATTATTCTGAGAATTATTCCTTCATTTTACAAGATGAAGTTCAGGGATTTCATTGGAACAACGTGCAGGCCACTATACATCCATTTGTAGCATATTATAAATCTGGAGAAAATTTAAAAATATAAATTTTGTTATTATATCCGAATCATTAAACCATAATACTAGTGCAGTTCACCTTTATCAAAAAAAATTTATTAATTTCTTAACAGCCAAATTTAATTCTAAACCAGAAAAAATAATATATTTTTCAGATGGAGCCGCGTCTCAATACAAGAATCGCAAAAATTTTCTGAACATATGCCTTCATAAATACGATTTTAATATTCCTGCCGAATGGCATTTCTTTGCCACTGCTCACAGCAAAAATGCATGTGACGGTATTGGAGGAACTGTCAAAATATTAGTTGCCAGAGCTAGTCTTCAAAGGCCAAATAAAAACTAAATCCTAACCCCATTAGAATTATAGAATTATGCTAAAGAAAATATTAATGGAATTCAATTTGAATATGTATCCAATCAAGAATATATCGAAGGGGAATTCTGCACTGCCCATACATGAGACCCAAAAATTTCACGTATTCCCATTGATCAAAATAAACTAAAAACCAAAATATATTCTAATTCCAAAAAATATAATATAAAACAAGTTTCGTTTTGAAATGAGAAAATTATATTTAAAAATATTAATGGATATGTAACATGTGTATATGATGATAAATGGTGGTTAGGATATATAATCGATACAAATGAAGAAGTGAAAATCCAATTTTTACACCCTTGTGGACCTTCAGCCTCATTTAAATTTCCTCTGAAAAATGATATTTTAGTGTTGCCTAAATCTCATATTCTCTCGCTAGTCAATCCTTCTACTCCCACCAGTCGGACATATATTTTACTCCTGAAGAAATCTCACAAGCTAGCCAGACTTTGTATTCCTTTAGATGAAGTTAGATTTAATTAATTTATAAACTATCTTAATTAGGCAAAATTTGTGAAGATTTTAAAAATTTCATGATCTGAATTACAAATAAATATATATAATGCACATTGTAATCGATTTAGTATGATATATATACATTAAAATATTTTTAATCAATAAAAAAAATGAATTTTTACATATTAAAACTATTATATATAGCGCCATCTATTTTTTCGCAATATTTTTTAAATAAATATCCAGTCATGCTAATTGTTGAAGAAATTATTTAAAAAATAGTAAAAGGATATTATTTCTTAAAAAAATTAAAAATCGGAGATCATATTCATTTCGAAATATTAATTTCAAATTTTCAACTGACCATAAGATGACCCATATTTTGAAAAAAAATTATTTTGATGTTTTCGCCATAATTATCAATTATTAACTTAGCTATTGATATTAGATTAAATATTTAATCATATTTAGTTTTAAATTTAAAACCAATTATTTAACATCACTAAAAAGCAAAAAAAGACATTTTTTGGACCTTTACCCCGATTATCTCCGCTAATATATTCGCTAATGTGCTAAAATTTTGTTTATAATCTAATGGGAACATATATAACCAGCCTACGATTTTTTATCGAAATCGAAAGGGGTCGGCCGAAAAGTGATTGATTTGACATGGAATGACCCTAAAACGTCTTATAATCCATAATCTTCCTAGGTTACTGTTTTAGGATCACATTACTTTTCTTAATTATTATTTTTATATTTATCAGAGACCTGTAAAGGCAATATTTGCATGGCCTGGATTTGATAAAAAAAACTTATCTTCAGACCAGCTCAGATTTTTTTTAAAAAAAATTGGCTATGTTTATAAATTTTTTCTAGGTCCTTGGTGTTTTTTAAAAAAATAAAATATCCTATTTAGCATTTTACGGATCGTTTTTAGAGAATATGAAATCCATATATAATAAAATCGAAATAAGATAAGTGAATGAGATATATTGTTCTTTCTTTCTTTCTTGAGAAGATTTTTAAATTTACTTTATTTATAATAATGACGATTTAAAATATTCGACCTGGTGTGGGTATTTTTATAAAAAAAAATTTATGGCCCTACCTGTAAACTTTGGGTCAATCCGGCAGGTCTCTGATATTCATAAATAAGATGATGTAGATATACTTACTTCTTGCACTTTAAATTGTATTATGAAATTGCTGGGAATAATTTATTTTAACATTCGTTTATTAAATTTTGCTTAAAATTTTCAGGGTTTTGAACAAACACTAATTTAATATCTTTTGATTTCTCTAAGTCTATTTTGTAACTCCTGTTTCCGTATTTAAAAGTGCTGCATTATTGGGAATAATCAATTTTTTCATTATTTGGATAATTTCTTAAAACAAAATCTTCTATATCTGTTAACTTGAAAATAGAAGGGAGGGATTCAAATAAACTAAGTCTCAAATTTTTATCTCTGCAGGTCTTTGAAAACCCATTGCAGAGAATAAAAAACATACTTTTTTGAAAAAGGTATGATTGAATATATTTTAAAAAATGGGAATGTAAAATCTGATTCTGGTTGGTCTAATTAATTTTTGATATTTTACTTACATTTTTTTAAATTAAAAATAGTGAGAAGTATAGTTGGGTAATTGCAATATTTTTAGCCATTTAAGCCAATTTTTAGCAGGCTAAAAAATTGGCTAAACCATTAACCAAAAACTATCACTTTGGTCTCAAAGTTTTTCTTAAAAAATTAGCAGCTCAAATTTGGAAGACACTAATATAAATTAAAAAGTATGTTAACAGATTTCTAAATTAGCTGACACTTTGCCATTGCCTAACTATAATAAAACTAAATATATGGGAGAGACCTACAAAATTGGAAGTTTTGGGGCCTCATCTGCAGCCTGGTGGCAAAAAAACTTAGATCTAGGTACAGCCTGCTTTGTCCCAAATTTTTAAAACTTATAGAAAAGAAATTTCAAACTTAAAATATTTGTAATGCAATACATTAAATTTAGATATTCAGCAATAACTTTGATAATTTAATTATTTTTATCTATTCAAAATATTATAAGAAAATAAATAGTAATTTTCTAACATCTAATTTTTTATAATTCGTTTTATATAAAGGCAAAAAAAGAATAGGATGGGAACATAATATTAATATTGGAGATTGGGATATGCCTATGTTTCATTGATGTTAACACTGCCCAGCCCTCCAGGATCTAATAGAGGGCCTAAATTGTAAAGAGTAATAAATTTGAAGATCTAATCCAAGAATTTTTTTAAAAATTTTTGTTTTTTATTCTATGTTTTACCAGAAGTTGAAAGTTTTCGTTTTGAATGGCATTCAATCAAGTGTACCTGATCTGTTTGTGTTTTGTTAAAGAAAGGATGTTTGCATAAGAGAGGTGTGTGAACATGAATTGCATAAGAACAATTGGATTCTTTGACCATAGAAAGATGGGATTTTTTGGAAGAGCAAAAATACTAAAAGAAAAATTGTTTAAATTAATGATATCAAACATAAGGAATATTATTTTGTAACTTAATGAGTCATTAAATTCTTTTTGTATATCAATTTATTTATAAACAATAGTTAAAAATATATATTCTAATATCCTTCAAAGCCTTTGTATATGTATACTAAAAATATAAGAATAATATATATATATTTGCCTTAAATAATTAATTAAAAAACTTGTATATACTTAATAGAAACTACTTATACATATTACTGATTATAATGTTATTAAATAATATTTAATATACTTTAACTTCAGCATCTCTAGGTTTATTATTTATATCACAATAAGTTCCATTAGAGTAATATTGAGTATGATAATCCACTTCATTAATTCGCTTAAGCTTAAACTACAAAAGATTATAAATAGGAATTTGTTTAAATAGGAAATAAAATATTTACCAGTGATTTCCAATTGATATCATGTGAAAAACTGCCTAGGATTGTTTGCATACCTCTAATTTCCCCATCTAAATATAATATGTATATTATCTAGAGTGTGCATATATGTATACCATGAAGATGATATTGGCGAATAAATCTTTTATAACAAAATTCATATGTCCACCAACCATCAGACTAAAAAATTATAAAAATATAAATTGTATAAAATTACTTTTTTCAGGCAGGGTCCTTTCAATAAGGGCTTCAATAATTTGCTTAAATTTTTTACAAAATTCTCAGCCTCATCTTCACTAAACATTTTTGGGTAGAAAACCTTTGGTATAAGGCATGAAAACTTGTCACCATATTTAGATGCCATGATAAACTCATCTTCAACTTCTCGTTTGTATTCAATTTCTTTAAAACCAAAAATTATATAAATTAATTTATTTTAAACCATGGTCATTATATAATTTGATATCGTAAGTAGCAAAATTTAATTCTTCTCTATTTAACTCTCCGCAGTACGAGATGAGAGGAAGTAGAATAAAGAAAAAGAAGTTTAAAATAACCATAGCTTGGGTCTGATATATTTACAAAATTATGACTACATCTGTCGAATAATCATTAGCTGTATAAAATTTAAAAATTTGGAATATGTTCTGCCACATGGAAAATAAATATTTAACACATGTAGAAATAAAATTTAAATGCATAATTAATAATTATCAGAGTTGTTAAAAGATTATTTTACATGAATCCATATACAGATACATCGTCAAATGTTATCTAGATACAGCTATATAGTCCAAAAAGTTATCTAGAATCAGACACAATTTTTATTATGCTCTTTATATAAGGTTTGCATAAACCAAAATTAAGATTCTGTTGTCAAAATTTATGAAATGAGCTAAAATATTTATTGACTTGACATTACATTTATCAAAATATAACTAATATTGATTTTTAGATTTTGATAAAATAATATTATATATAGAAATATATAATTAAATTATTATAAATAATTATTATAATTCATTAATAAAATATTATCAAAATTTTGGTCATTAAGGCATCCTCGTTTATATGTAAAGACATTTTTAGCCACAGTAAAAAGTCTTTCTACCAGGGAGCTTGAAAGGATTATGGTGTTATATTTTATGAATAACAATTTTATATCAGAATATTCATTAAAAATATTAGAATCTCGGCATTCATTTTTGAAATAATTATTTAAAATTTGTTGAGTATCAAAATTTTCTTATTTACAATCATACTATTAACATTCATTTTTGATTATTTAAAATTTGTTGAGCATCAAAATTTAAATCATAATTTATGTGTGACTGGCACAACACTAATGATTAGGTAAAATATATGATTCTAATATTTTAAAATCCTGAGCAATAGTATAAAGATTTGATATTGATATTTGTACAATTGCTTCTTCATCTTACAGATCATCCATAGTTTCAATAGTATTTTCAATTCGATTAAAAACTTTATAATAAATAAGTAATTCTAATCATATGTTTTGATTTTATAATAAAATAAACCTAAAAACTCTGATAAAATTTTTGGCATTGTCAGTAATGGTCTTTGAGATTTTATTATGAATGCAATAATCCTATATTATATCTTGTAAATTCTTTGCTATTTTATTGTTAAACATGGATTATTATTTTATTATAATTGTTGTTATATAGCGCAAATTTTTGTATGTCGCATTCATTTAATTTACACTATTTATATTAACTTTACTTAATAGTTTCATTAATTATTTAATAGTTTTTTTTTATATATAAAGAGTAAATTTATTATAGTTTTTCAGTTATATTGTAGTTAAATATTTTTAAAATATATTTATTTAATAAAAGTTTTAAATCTTTTTGTAAAGTCTTGCTTTACTCCCAGCCAACCTTTAACATGGTGGCAGCCGAATTTATATTTAAAATCTTTTAAATTTATTTATTTTCTACAAAATATAATTTAGATCAAATGGATAATTCAACAATGAGGAGAATTACTAAACTTAATATCAAACTAGATGAATCTATTATAGATATGGAGTTGTTATAAATGGAAATGATTACTAAAATTGGGTATATGAACTTACAAGAACCAATATTATAGTTAGACAATAGGTTATGAATTCTATAGAGTAAAACCAATAACGATTTTTTAAATATTATAAATCCAAGTAAGACTAAAAGAAGAAGTTATTAAAGAGTTGTATAAAATAACTTATTAAATTAAATATAAATCAGTAATAATGAACATATATGAATACTTAGATAACCTTAAAAAATATTTGCCTAATAATGAATTAACAGTTAAATTCTTGATGACCTACCCATTGATATTTTTCGTATTTTTGATTTCTGGGATAATGACCAAATGTGGGAATTAACTAAATTGCCTAAAGATAAATTCTTAGCTACTATTAAAAAATATTACGTAAATAGCCATATTTAATTCAATTCCCAGATCATTATAGATTTCATATTGACAAAATTCAGTCTAAAAAAAATTATAATACTAGTGACATAGGTTATTATAATAATTGAAATATTAATTATAACAAAAGAATGATTATAAATCTAATGAGCATTTTAAAAACAACTTTGGACGAAACTTTGTTAAAAGATATGATATTAATTATAATAAAAATTGCAAATTTAGATATTATGAAAATTATAATTATAGAGACTACAGAAATTTTAACTTTAGAGATCATAACTTTGAATCCCATGATAAGAAAAATGTTCATAATAAAAATTTTAATAAATCTAATAATGAGAATTATTATGAAAATAGAAAATTAGACAATAAATATGATAAAGAAACACATTATTATAAAAGAAATTATCATTGTAATTGTAAATCTCTTAGTAACAAGAAATTGAAAAATATTGAATTAGAACCAAATATTCAAAATGAAAGAGATTCTTATAAACTAAAGAAATAAATTATATAATAAAATTTGAAACATTTGTGATTATAGAAAATAAGGAAATAAACTTTAAAGAAAACAAGGAAATAATCATTAAAGAAAATAATGAAATAAAAACTTTTATAATTGATAAAAAATTTAAAAAAACTGTGAAGATAAAGAAATGTAAAAAAATTAATATTAAGAGAGGCAAGGTGAAAGTTAAACATCTTGATGATAAAAAAGTTTTTAAGAATATGATATGGAAATCATATATTAGATATGGAAGAGAAATAAATTTCTTTTTAGAAAGAACAATTTAAAGATAATTCATGATATGAAAAAGTTGTTTATATTGAAAAACAAGGGAGCAGAGTGTTAAACGCTATTTTTAAAAGTAGCGCGCCACTGCTATAGCTATTTGTCAAAAAAAGTAGCGCGCTACCGCTTTCACTATTTGTCAAAAAAAGTAGCGCGCTATTAGCTACTTTTTCAAAAGTAGCTTAGCTACTTTTATATAAAAAAAATTTTAGAAACAAATGAAACAAATTTTTTTTATTTTTTTTTTGCTTATAATGTAAATGTATAATAAATATTATATAAAAATCAACATTTATAAATATAAAAATATAGTTAGTTTAGATTATAAAAAAATAAGCAATATAAATAAATATTTATTTTAATTTGTTGCATTTTAATAATAATATCATTTCAATATTATCATCCCCAAGTCTAGAGCGACGATCAGAAAGTATAAGCTTTGCTTTACTAAATAATCTCTCGACACTAGCACTTGAGGGCAAGGAAGCTCTAAAAATATTTAATCACATCAATTTACAAATATAAATAAGTTTTTACCTTCTGTTATGTGTCCAACTATCTGCCGGTGTACATACATAAGATATATCTGATAACTCTACTCTTAGAGCATCTTTCATCACTTTGAAGTTGTCGGCTATTTTATTCATAAGTGTCTGGCGACATAAAACTGTTGTGCCAGGGGATAAAGTTTTAATCATCATAGTAAATGATGGATTATCAACTAAGGACAATGGCTGAACTATGTCAATAATAAAATCAACAATTACTTTATCAGCCAATTTTTGTGAAATATTGGCATGTTTATTATCAGTTAATTTGGTATGGATAGTATTTGTCATTTTGAATGAAGATTCTCTTATACCAAATTTTTTTATATGTTTCTCTATTTCCTTATAGCAATTGGCGTGAACAGTCTAATAAAATAAATATAAAAATAATTGAAATTTAATATTATTAAAAAAATTATTATACAAAACGCTACAATTAAAGATATTTTTAAAAAAAAATGATGATTAAAATGAAATTTAATATTGATAATAATTATTATATAAAACGCGAAATTGAGAAACGTAAAACGCTATTATCTAAAACGCAATATATATAATATAAAATTAAAATAAAACGCGACCAATCATTCATTTTATTTCTATTATTCAATATTTGATTAATTTATTCTATTTCAATTATTCTTAATCAATTTCGATATTCATTAAATTAATTCTATTTCGATTATTCGACAATTCTTATTTTATTACAACGTTATTCAATAATACCTACATTCTAATATCATTTAAAATCTTTCACATATATATTTAATAACAAACAATGATAATAATTAACAGAAGGATGACAAAGTCAAATCGTATGAACAACTAAACCGTTTTTCAAAGATTTGGAGGGAGTAAGACAAGATAAGAAAGTTTGCGAACAAAAATCAACTAATACTAGATATGACAATACCCAGATGATGCCATATATTGAGAACAACAGACTTTATGATAATAATTACAAACATCAGTTTAGACAACCATGGCAGACTCGACCATATTATGGCAACCAAAGATTTAACGACCAAAATAACTATCATTTTCCAAGACGAAACTATGACAGATTTTATGATCAAAATAGATGGGAAACTCCTTGAACACGAAAGATTTATGTCTAAAGAGAACCTAGGCAGGGTTCCTTTAGAGGGTGGAATGTTAAACATGGATTATTATTTTATTATAATGGCTGTTATATAGCGCAAATTTTTGTATGTCGCATTCATTTAATTTACACAATTTATATTAACTTTACTTAATACTTACATTTAATTATTTAAAAGTTTTTTTTTACATATAAAGGATAAATTTATTATAGTTTACAGTTATATTGTAGCTAAATATTTATAAAATATATTTATTTAATAAAAGTTTTAAATCTTTTTGTAAAGTCTTGCTTTACTCCCTGCCAACCTTTAACATTTATCATACGTATGACAACCAGTTATTCTTTTATAAGCCAACGCTACATTTTTTCTTTCCAAACTTGTTGGATCTATATTGAAGTAAAAATTAGCATTTCTTAAAACTGCTCAAATAATTTGTTCTTAATTAATTATTATACAAATTAAAATGTAAGCTATACCGGCGATAGGCACTCCAACAATACAATCTACTTTTATGCATATTAGCGAAGGTATTAGAATTTTTATGATTTCTTTCTTTTCATTTTCCCAGCTTTGTGAAATTCTACCAACTACTGTCTTTCGGCAAATTATATTTTTTGTGGAGCTAATGTTTTGATCATTTTTATAAATAAAGGATTTTAACAATTGAAAATGGCTGAATGCTAGCTATAATAAAAGCAGATATTAAATCATCTAAAGTGGTTTGGATTCAAGTCTGATTTTCTTTAGGGAAAAAGTGGATGATGAGCCTAATCTAATATTTTCTTCAATAGATTTATTCTCCTTCCCCTTTCTTTTTATTTATTAACAGTGTTTGATGTTTTCTCTTAAAATTTAAAATTACAATTGTAAACATTTATTTAGTATCTATACCCATAAATGTTTTACAATGTTGCAAGTTGAGGTAATGCTAACTGAAATTTTCGTATTTTTTGGTAGACATGGCAAGCATTCTACTATTATAAGAGATTTGTTTTCTATATTTTGAGATATAATTTTAGATATAATTTTAAAATATGCTCTATAAAATGGCGAGGGAAAAACAATGCCTGAATTTATTGATGCTTCATTGATTATTATTTCTTCCTCTTCATTACTATTAATATTAATCTATAATAAATTTTAAAATTAATATAATAAAAGAAAATTATCAATTTCATTGAAATAAAAATGGCATTCTTTGAGATGAATGATAATGTCAAAATTTGTCTGATTTATTGATAAACTCAGACATAATATTTAGTGAATATTTATATATTTTTTTTATATATATAAATCTTAATATTTTATATATATATATAAATTTTTATTATAGTAGTCTTAATATTTTTTAATATATATATATTTAAATTTAAGCTCATAAGAAATGAAATAAATTTTTCATTCAAGTTTTTTTATTTATAATATAAAATAACTTTAAATAAGTATATCAAAATGTATCTAAAAACAGAAATAGATACCTCTAAAATATTATCTAGATGCCGATACTTTAACAAAAAATCCTCTAGATACAGACAACACATTTTTATATCTAGATACTTTAACAACTCTGAATTATAATATAACGATTTAGATCTATGAAATCGTCTGAAGAATTTGAATTGAATTTTAACATTGACTATTACCTCAAAGTGATCTATTTGATTATATATATTACAAGAGGTCTTCATAGCTGGGCAGCTCTATCTTACATGAAATAACTATGAACATTTATTTATTGTATACTTTTATTTTTTTTAGCTAATATTTTCAAAATGATCTAATTTTTTAGGAATCAAAAGACAAAATTTAAAAATTTTCATAGGGCCCTTCAGATTTTTCATGGGGCTCGAGCCGCTGTAAACCCCCCCCCCCCCATTCATAATGACGTTACTACTTTGAACCATACAATAATCTTAAAATTTTCAATTGGGAATTTGTAAAAACAAATGTTTTGTTTGATATTTTTGTAAACATTTTTCCTTTTTCAGACCTCTCAGCGTGAATTATATGTTTTCGTACTGCTTAGCTCGTTTCAATAGCCTGAGCATAATTTAAATCCTGCTTTTTATAAATCAATATAATAAGCATAATTTATTGTCAGGGGCGTCATTAGTCTTTACAATCTTAGGGGGATCAAAAAATATTTTAAAATTATTTACAAAATTACCTCTTTTTTTAGCTAACATCTTGACTAACTTACCTTTTTTTAAAGTGGTATAAAAAAATTTGAGGGAGCTCTAGCCCTTGTGCGCTCCCTAGTGACACTACTGTTTATTGTATAGTCTGGGTAAATATTTGGCAATAATCTTTAATGACAGTGATAAAAGCCTATGTCATGAAAAAATATGTCTATATATTTTTTTATTTAACTCATTTTAATGACTAGTTTAATGAGCATTGCTTAGAGATAGAGAGTAGTAAACTTTTTTTATAATCATACATTGGAGGCCAAATTATAGTCAAGCAAAATTATATTTTAACAGATTTATAGATACCGCAGTCATTCAATATCTAAAGTCAAATTAGAACTTAGATATTAATATTATTATTTAACAATTTAATAATTTTAAAGTTTTTGTTGGATGATTTCAATTATATATAATTTTCAAAATTAATAGATATTATCACATATTAATCGCATATTAAAACCATATCAAATATTTAAAATGAGAAACATTTTCTGAACCACAGAAAAATTTTTTAGATATATTCCTATGACAACCAAAATGAGAAAATTTTATTGTGAAATTCTTCCCCCAGTATAAAATTCCAATTCAAAATTTCTGACCTAAAAACCTCTGTTTAGAGAAAAGAATTAAGAATTAGCTTTAGACTACATCAGGCTAACCACCTTGGTTCTCTAGACCCATGAGAATTGAAGTTCGAGAATAAAGATTGACGAATATGGTAAAGGTTTTTCCTTTATTCACATATCCTTTTTTTAAATTTTATTTAAATAAATATTATTTTTTTGGAATTAATAAATTATTAAATGCAATTTTTACATGCAAAAATTATAAATTTTTTAGTTCCCTGTGTATGTCTAAAACGAAGTGTTCGTTATTCGATATTCGACTTTATATATTTTACAAATACATAACAAAATTATATGATTATGAAAATATGATCAAATACGAATAAATAGAATAGATTACCTTCGAATAATTTTTTTCAATCGAATTATTTGCAATTATTTATATAGTTCAAAATTATTCGTTATTCGTACTATTCGAAATAATTTATAAGTATCAAAACTATTTTTAAATATTTGAAATTATTCATAAATTTTCAAAATTATTCATAAATATTCAAAGTTAATCATAAATATTCAAAATTATTCATAAATATTCAAAATTATTCATAAATATTCAAAATTAATCATAAATACTCAAAATTATTCATATATAAAATTATTCATAATTATTTGACACTATTTTATAAGTATTTTACATGTTCCTTGCAGAACTTATTATTTTTATTACTTTTTCCCCACATCTATAAACACTTTTTAAAATTTTAATAATCCATTTTTCCATTTTTAAAAATATTTTTAAAGAATATATTTTTGAATCGAATATTCGTTTGTACAGTAAGAAGAATAATGCAAATATTTGATTTGATTTTTATTTTTGTAGGTATAGCTCTGTTTATAGACTCAACCTTCCTCGTGTATCATGCTTCCTAGTAAAAAAAAGTGTAAAAAAAGTAAGATATTTTTTCTTTGAACGTTTCTTTAAAAATAGGGGGAACAAAATGACACTCTTTTCTTTAAATTAAAAATGATCAAGTACTTTATTATATAAACATATTAGTTAAAAACTTAACTTATTTTGAAAATTAATTATAAGTATTTATTTTCTCTTTGGACTAATTCACAAAGAGTTTTAATTTAATAACGTTGTTGGTTTTTGATGTATAAATTTATTATATGACATAATCTCCATCGAAAAAAAAAGTGTTAAATTTTTAAAATATTTTTGTATTTTGAAATCAGGTCACAATAAAAATCAAAATGGAAAGGAATATCCAAGTCCGAGACTTATTTAAATATTATATTAGCAATAGATAATCTTTATAAAATAAATTTACTAATATAATAGACACATTTTAGTAATGTCACTAAAGGGGGGGGGGGGAGGTCAGGGCTCAAGCTCCGTGAAAATCTTTTTTTTATATCCAAATTTGGAGATGTTAACTAAAAAAAGGTCATTTTGAAGATGTTAGCTAAAAAAAAATCAAAAAAGGTCATTTGAAAATAATTTAAAAACATTCTTTTGAGGCCCCTGATTTTAAAGGCTAGTGATGCCTGACACATGTATCTATAATTCATAGTTTTTAGAAGCTGTTTAAAAATAAAACTGACGAGGACACGGCCTGAAAATATGTTCAAACAGATCTTTCGAAAAAATTTAATTAAAATTCAGTTTTTTTTGGAAAAAGATCTTAGATAAGTAAATCTTTTTGTGATGAATTTTTTCCAACTAAAATATGAATATTAGAATAATCATAAAATTAATTATATTTTTTCTTAGCTAACATAATAAAGAACCAGTAAAATATAAAAATTATTTTTTCAGTTATAATTTACACTAAACTTATCTTACAAAAGTATACAAATATAACATAAGATAAATCTAGTTTAATATTAGAAATAATGGAATGTAATATAAAAAATTTGTGGTGTGAATTTTTTTTATTGTACTTATATTCAACAATTTTGACATTAAACATATGTGATTTTAGGCCTATTTTTACTGTTGACGATTTGCGGAATCAAATTTATGGTGTTGAAAGCTTGCAATGCAAGTTTATTCGTAGCTCTACTACGACTTATACTCTGCATATAAAACTCCCGGGCCGTCTTGACGTACCTTTGATATTTTTTGGCCTCTTGGTATTCTTTTTGTTCCCTCTTCATGTATTTTGCCATCATAATAACGATTCCGAAGGAATAAAACATTAGAACAAAAATTATGTAAAATAAAGCCCCAGAATAATCTGATAGATCGATAGTTGAACCATTGAGGGATGACTTTCTAGATAAATCGCTTTGAATTAAATATTGATTCAAAAACTCGATTCTATATGTAACGTTAGAATTTTCTGCGCGATGAGGGATAATTTCTAAATAACGTTTAATAAGATTTAGGATGGTATTAATTTCGAAATATGAGATATTAGAATTAAAATTTGAGAATTCATCACTTGGAGAATGCATTTGGATTACACATATGTTGTTACTCTGTAAACTATTATTTATTGAACGATGTAATATGTCGGATGATTCAGGCTTAGATTTATAAACATGAGCAGCCCTATTGAGTTCAGTTCCTGGAAATTTATCCGTAATTCTGGCTATACTGGCAGTTGTTAAAACGAAGAATTTAAGCATTAGAGACTTTTTAGATCCGTTAAAATATTGATGGTGTCTATACATCAATCGTAAATTATGTTATATATCGTGATGTAGGTTAAGATTTCTGTATAAATGACATTTTATTATAAAGTATAATAAAAAACATTATTTAATGGTTTTACAAAATTAAATTAAAATTTTATTTTAATGTAAAAAATAAAGAAAAATTAAATGCTAGATAAAAAAATATGTATCGATTTTTTTAACACTATTATAATCATTTTTAAAAATATTTTTTTAATTTAAATTTTAATTATATTTTTATTTTATCAAAATTTTGTAAAATTATTTTTATGATAAGAGCCTGATTTTGAAGGAATATATTTTTATCTCTTTTTTTTTTCATTACTAGTTGTAAATAAAATTTATCAAGTGTTAAGCTGTTCTATCATTTTACTCTGCTAAATTATATCCAAAAAACATTTTCCTTAAAATTGATTATCATAATATATCCTCTTATCTATAAATATTTTCGATTTCGCTTGATTCTCTATTATTTTTAAAATTAATATTTACATCATTCAATAATATTCCTACATATTCCCCTCCCTCTCCTTTTGGGAAGATCATTTTAAAAATAAATTGGAATCTTGTTTACTCTTCTTCTTAAATGTTAATAAATATTTTTCCTTACTAACATCTAGTATTCATCTCCATTATCATATCCAGGCTATGCACCCATGGCTAGATATCTAAAAATATATTACTTTTAATTATTTTACACTGTAATATTAACATAGTTTAAATCCTTTTTTTCTTGAGAATTTACATAATTATTATTTAATAACTTTCATTTTATGGGAAAAGATTAGATTCATTTTTATTGGTTTAAATCTACATTTTAAAAATTCTGTACCAAGGAGAAATTTTCCGCATCTCTCCCTTACCTAAGTCAATAGTGTATCATATAGTTTTTCACCCAAATATCATCATTCATATCTTCATCTATCTAACTTAATATATAACTGTTTGTTTTCTTCAATGAAAATATGGATGTTCATTTTGTTTCTTTTAAGCTTTCCATATTTTTGCAAATTATTGTTCAAATTGATTCTTCATAATTTCAAAATGTGACGATATATTATTGAATATTAATATACTTTGGCTGTAATCGCATAAATTGTGGTAATACCATGCGGAAAAAGTTTCACAAAAATGACGATATATCAAATGGGTGTATTCACATAAGATATGCACATCGAAACTATTAAGATCGGGGATAATTTCAAAAAATTATCGTGAATGGGCGGTAAATTGGGAATCCAAAAAATAATGAACCGTGAAATATAAAATGGTTTGAATTTATGAAAAATTATAATTACTAAAAGTTATGAATGATGAAAGTCGTAAATATTTTTTGTAATTCGCCATTTGCCACTAAATATACATCTCTAATTCGGCGGGATTTTAGGGGGGGGGTTAGGAATAACCCGACTCACGAAATAGGAGAGTGTCTCTAAAAAGTATTTGGCAAAATTGTTTAGATTTATTTCTCGAAACACAATAAAATTCAAGCATAAAATCAATATAATTATATTAAATATATTTGACAAATCACTATAAAAGAGTATGTACTATTCTATTTTTTTGTCCCATTCAATCTTTCACGTAAAATCGTTGAGGTGAAATCGCATTTGAGAAGCGGCTTCTTGATATGATACTCCACATTCATTTTTTCTGTCGCCTCTATTTATTTAAGAAATATTTCTAAATAATCTTTATGAGATGACAGAGTTTCTATTTCTCCATTTACTAATTTTTTTGGCTAAAATCTGGATTTGTGGGTCTTCCGCAATATAATTATTTTTAGAATATCATACCAAACGTTTAATAAATCATGCGGGATTATTAAATTTTTAGATATGAATGAGTAACTTTTATATTAGTTATAGATAAAAAAAAATTAATGATTATTTTAGGTTAGTTCGCCTGATGAATTAGAATGTAATTACCAAGCCAGAACCGCATTTTTTTAGGTATTTACCAGGTGCAGTTCGGAATCTTCAAGATTTATATCTCATCTTTTTTTGTTATTTTATTCTAATATAAAATGAACGGAACAATTTTTTTTGAATTAATTTCCAGGAAATTAATATATAAAAATAAAATTCCGAAAAAAAAATTTGGAAATTTCAAAAATGGAATCATTTATAGACTTAGCTTTATATAATAATGACTGATTAAATTTTTTAAATTATTCTATGAAAAATATTGACTCGCCAACCTAAATCTGTGAGCGAACTAAACCGCTAGGCAAGCATTAAACCTAATTTTTCTATTTATATTTTTAAATAGTTAAAAATGTAATATAATACCTCCAATTATTTTAATTTTCCGCATGAAATTTGATAAATATACAAAAATACGAAAATTTTTAAAATTTATAGTAATTATTTATCTGTTATATCATTTACCAGAGAAAATATCCACAACCAGAACATAACGATCTTTTTGATAAAGTCACAACTAATCTATCCCAAATCATCACACTTAAATACAAAACTATCCTCCTCCTACACCAAAAAATAAGCCCTTGATGTATAAACCTTGAGTAGATATTAGCCATATTATTATAATAATATTGTGATTGTGACTAATAGATATAACTCGTTTTTTGCAACAATAGTTGTTGGTGTGACTTGAGTCATAACGTAAACAATCCATAAAAATAACTTATAAAAAATATTATATGATGTAGAAATAAAATAACAAAACTATTTTATTTCAAAAAATGACTCAAAAATTTATTACTAATCCCCACTACACTACTCCCTTATTTGGAATCACAAAATAAACCAAATTTTGAACCTTATAAATATAATATCGATTTTCCATGATTAACAAATAATTAGAAATATTATTTAAAAAAAACTTTTTTAAAAATAATAAAAAATATAAAGTTCTCTTTTTATGAGGAAAGAGGCAATTTTTAATGACCACGTAGCCTTTCCATGATCGTATTTATGTTATCTAGGCAATGGATAAGACAACAATAATTACTTGAAAATATCAGGAATGTTTATTGCCTGAAATATTAGATATTATATTCCTAGAAATGTTAAGTAATACATATATTTCCTGATTTATTAAGGCAATACACACCAGCACCACAAACATATTTGCTAAAAAGGTGTCAAGGAAATATACATACTGCCTTAAATATTTTACCAACACTGAAATTGAAATAAATTAGTTACAGAAACTCTTTCTTTAATCACGCATTCTTTATTTTATGAGATTTACCACCTTTTATATTAAATCTATATTTATTTTTGATTTCGGGCATAAAATAACTTTTTAAAAAGTTATATTATAAAATTAACATATCATTTTGAGTTAAATCAATAACAATCAGAGACATGCAATAGATGTAAAATAGTATGATTTCAAAAATCAGGGTCAGCCTAAAATTGGAAAAAAAAACTATAAACTCAAGCCGAACCAAATATTTTATCTGCAAATATTTTTCAAAAAAAATAATTCCCTTGGGTTCATCTCTGGCAAAAATAGTTTGCGTTCAAAATTCATTTGCAATAAAAACACGTTCACATTTTAATAATTATATCTAAAAATTTATATTTTTCAAAATATGCATTTAATATTTAGCATAAATAGATAAGTGCAGAATATAATAATACCATCTACATAATATATGTATAATATACATTTAATTATAAAAATAAATTCATAACTTAACGTTAACACTATAACACCATATTTATAAAATAAAAATAAAGAAAAATTTTAAAATTTGTTTATTTATCTTTTGACATTAATTTTTATTCTAAATATCTTGTTGATTAGGCAGATTTTCCCATATCCTTTAAATTTACTTTATAAATGAAACTATTTTTTATTTTGGTCTAGGATATTTAGTAGCTTAATAATTTTCTCAACAATTTAGAAATTAATATTTTGATAATACTTTTCAAGATGGCACTGATTATTGGTAATTTTTGGTCAGACCAGAAATTTCCGAAAGGCTCTGATTTCAATGCGAATCAATTATTTTTAAAGATAATTTTAATATTTTATTAAAATTTATGATAAGAATAAATTCTATGATTTATTTGGTGTTTGAATAATTTATAATTTAGAAGATCAATAATTTATAGTTTTTACAACTTGCATTAGTTTATACTATTTATGATGTTATAAGATAAAATCTCAAAATAAATTACATTAGATAATTTTGTAATTGCAAAAAGAATAGATAAGAAAACTCTTGAAGAATTCATCGGAGAAAGAGGGATATTTTATTCTAAATTTAGGAGTATCGCCACTGATATCGATATCATAAATAATTTGCAATGATATTTTTTTTTCCTATTTTCTTTTAAAATAAATTAAAACAATTTCTTTTAAAGGATCCTCTCGAAATTAGTACATATGTTAAAAATCATTTTATCAAATATAAATATATTTAAATAAATGGAAATTACAACAGATAATAAAACATTTTATTCTATATATAATAAATAAAATATAAATCAATTTTATATTATATCAGAATATAGCGCATTTAATTAAGGGTTTTCAAAAAAATTCTACGTAAGAACTTTTTGATTTTTATTTTACCTGGCTAACAAATGATAATAATATCATTTTATTGTAAAATAACAGATATTTTGAAATCTCATATTATTTATTGTAATGCGTAAAAGTATTAAATAATAAAAGAAAATTTAAAATAAATATTTATTATCAAATTTTATATATTAATTTTTAAAAAGAACTGAATTTGCTATGCTAAAATTACATTCCAATGGATCTGAGGATGGCTTCTTCAAAAAAAAAGAAGATTTATGAATGGGCTCTGTTATGAAGCTACATATATTTCGGCTTCTTTAAATATATTATATCCATTATTTTTAATTATTCATTCTGTGAAAGCCTTATCCAGGGTCATTCGAGTTCAAGATTTCTAATATAGTTCTCACGAAAACATGGAATCGTGGACAACGGATGAGCTCAAAAGTAGTGTTGTTAAACGGTTGGATTTGGGTGGATATTTAAAAACGACCCGATTAAGAATTTAGTTTAAATAATATTATGTAAACCTCAAGTATAGGTCCAAACCTTTCTGCCATCTCTATTTGCAAAATCTTCAGACAGACATAATATTATTAGCCTAAATCTTAATCGTGACGTTTTTAAAAATCTACCCAAGGTCCGTTTAACAACACTACTAAGAATATATGATATAAAATAATATTTTTTTTTGATAATAATGGTTTCAAAAATTATATAAACGCCTCTTTTTATATTAATTTATTGACAAGAATATATATTGTATATATAATTTAAACTATACAATAAATAATAATGCACTTCAATTGCAAATATGCATAGTAAAATTACTATAATTTAGTGATCTGCATCGGGCCCAATTTTTCAAGCCCGGCCCGGCCCGAAATTTTTTTAAATATAGAAATTAATTTTTATAATTACTCAAAATAAAAAACATATGTTATATGGCGTTTAGTTTCAATAAATTAAATCAAAGGTTTTTATTTTACATAAAAAATTCAATATAAAATTGATAAATTTAGATATATTTAAAAAAAATTCCAAGGTCCGACCCGACCCGGCCCAAAATATTTTTTTAAATATTAGGCCCGGTCCGAACCCGATTATTTTAAATAGAATTAGTCCCGAGCCCGTCCCGAAGCACGTTCGGTCTGGGCCGGTTACGGGCCGGGCCTAACTTTCCAAATCTCTACTATAATTCACAGATATCATATCATATAAATTTCGAAAAATATTAATTAGGGTATATAGTTGAAAAAAAATGAACGCTAGTGTAAAATATAGATTGAGTAACCATTGAAGACTAAATTGAAATAGAAGGCAATATAAAAACTGTTGGCCAGCAGTAAGAAATTTAATAAGAAGGGTTTGAAAGACCCTGTAGCCTGGAAAATATAAAGTTTCTAAATTAATAATAAACAATCATGCATTAAAACATGTATGAATAATTTTACTACCTTTATTACATGATCTAACATAATTATAAATTAAAAATTAAAATATAAGTAAGAAATTTAAAATAAATTATAAAAAATATTAAAAATTAAAAAGGTTAAATTAAAAAATTGTGAAAGAACGTACAAAAAATTTTTATAATCGTAATCTCCAAAAAAATAGTAATTTTTTTATAAAAATTAAAATTTACATCGTCTGTAATATTTTTTCTCCGAACTTTCCGCATATAAAAAAAAATATATATATAATCATATTAATTCTACTACTTTATTAATTAATTATATTATAAATGTACTCACAAAGGTGTAGCGGAATTAATAGGAGGGAAGAGAGAATTTTATGGTGAATTTAGCAAATAATTAGAGGGCTTGAGTATTTTTACCTATATCTTTTACTCACAAAGGCGTAGCTAGGAATTCATAGGAGGGAAAGAGAATTTTATGGTGAATTTAGCAAATAATTAGAGGGCTTGAGTATTTTTACCTATATCTTTTTAAATATAGTTTATAATAACATTTCATATTTTTTTTGCGAAAGGAAATGAAATATGCAGAAATATACTTCCAATTAGAGATCTGCAAAGTTAGGCCCGGCCCGGACTCGGGCCTAATTTTATTTAAAATAATTGGGTTCGGGCCGGGTCGGGTCGGACCTTGGAAATTTTTTTAAATATATCTATTTTATATTGAATTTTTTATGTAAATAAAAATATTTGATTTTATTTATTGAAACTAAACGACATATAACATTTTTATTTTGAGTAATTATAAAGATTAATTTCTATATTTAAATAAATTCGGGCCGGACTGGGTCTGTAAATTTTTTTTAAAAAAATTTCGGGCCGGGCCGGCAAAACTTTTTATGCTTGAAAAATTAGGCCCGATGCAGATCACTACTTCCAATACCCTCCTTCGCCTCCTAGTGGCCCCTACAACGGGGAAATAGGGGGGTCCGAAGCTACTGCTTCCAAAAATTTGATTGGGGGTACTTAATTTTTTATTTTTAAATTTTAAGTGGGGGGTACATATTTTTAAATTTTTTTTTTTTAAATTTAATTTTTTATTGTTTTGCTACACCATCCATAACCAATTGATTTCTGGTTTATGTATATAATAATAAGACCCCCCCCCCTCCCCACTTATTATTTAATTTAATATGTAATGATGGAAATTTTGGTCGGTGTTTATAAATTAGGTTGTTATCCGAGATTTCTTGTCATAAATTATTTTTCCAATTTCAAAATATGCCCAAAAATAATAACCAAAAAAAATAAAATGGGCTAGAAGAAAATATAATATCTGACTCTTTTAATGATCATGAAATTTAATAGTGATATTATTGTGCATGAATCTTCACAGGCACATATGATGACCGATTATGGAAGGCTTTCACACAACAAAAATTCCATAATACAATTTATAATACCCCAGAAAGAATGTGTGGATAATAACCGTTCTATCATAAGAATAATAATAAGATGTCTAGGTTATTTAATATCTCGTAACCAAGCCTTCTGGAGGAACAGGCAACAAGAAGGAAATCTGATGGGCCTTATTAAAATAATTTCAGATTCCTAACCTGTACTGGGAGAAAACAAAATAAAGGATTAAAAACGAAATTATATTCAAATCTATTATCATATAATAACATAAAAACCATGAATATGGTTATAAACAAATTCAAAATGAGATTGAATTTAACAGTTGCTTTTCAATCATAGTTGATGGCACATATGATGTTTCGAAATCAGAAGCAATAGCTTTGATAGTAATATATGTGTTACATATCAATAACGGAGGTGATGTATGGACATGAAAAAATGTTTTATTTATTATAAATATATCTAAAACTAAAAATTAAAAATAAATATAAAATAAGGTATATATATGTATTATAAAAAAAACAATTTAAACGAAATACATGGTTAAATACTAACATGTTTAAAATAAAAGCAATTTAAGTTAAACAAATTTAAAAAGTCAATCTCGATTAACAATATGAAAATAGTGAGACGCCTAAGCCCATTGAAAGACTGACTGATAGACATACATTGTATGGGAAATACAAGGTCTCGATATTAAAAAGAATATAATATCCAAACTTGGCTCCATGACCTCTTGAATTCCTAGTTGGCCAAAGCTATGATGGCGTCTCAAACTTCTGAGAATCAATGGAGTGCAGGCTTTGATTAGAGCGGAGGCGCCAAAGGCAGATTTTATTAGGTGCTATTGTCATCGATTAAATTTAATCATTGTACAATTAAGTCAATCAATAAATAAATTACGAAATGTTTTAGGAATATTAGACGAAATTATATATATTTTATCGGTGTTAAAAGATATGAGGTGCTCAAAGCATGTCAGAGTAATGCACTGACAAAATCGCTCCGATTTCTACGAATCAAAAATACCACACGGTAATATTAACTTATTTGTTTAGATAGAAGCTGGCTATCGTCTTAAAAGCTATTGTAAATTTTTTCTACTTTATGATGCCTTGAGGGGAGCTTTAACAAATTTTAAGGATTCTGAAGATCCTGCCACTTCCACTATGGCTAGTGCTATAGTCTTTAGAATAGAAAAATTTTATTTTATTTTATCACTTTGTGTTTTGGATAAAATATTGTTGATAACAAGTTTGGCTTGTACAAAATATCAAATCATTTCGAAGGATATAGGGTTGGCAATAAATCAAATCAAAAGATTCCCTGATTAATTTGAGAAGTATAATTTAAATTATTGTCTTTAATTATTTTTTAATCCTAATAGATAATAACACTGAATTTTTGGATGTTTTTTCAGAAGCACAAGATTCCAGCCCACGTCCCGCAGGCCCTAATATTATATTTTCTAACAGGCCTGGATTAAAAAAAATTTTTTTAATGGGCTTGGGCTGGGTTTGGGCCTAAAATTATTAAATTTAAATTTAGATTATTTAAAACAGTTGCTAATTTAAAGAATTATTGCCTTTTTTTCTTCTAATAATAATAAATTTCAGTATTGTAAAAAAAATGATTGCCTTAAATATTGTTTATTTTCATAAAATAAAAAAAATTAAATTTTTGGATATGGGCTTGGGCCGGGTTTGGGAAATATTTTTGAAACTTATTATGGGCTTGGGCCGGGCTTGGGAATTTTTTTACCATTAGATATGGGCCGGGCTTGGGTCTATTTTACTGCGGGCCTGGGCCAGAGGTCAAAAAATTAAGGCCCATGAAGGTCTCTGCAATAAATATTGATGAAATTATAATTTCTTTTGCTTTCTCTTTCCCCGATATCTAAATTATTAATTTAAAAATAATATTATTTTAAATTTTATTTATATTATATATTATATATTAAAGATTGCTACAATAAAAATTATTTTTAAAATTTATGGGTGACAAAAAATAATTGGTCGTTTTTTCGAGGGGGGGGGAGACTTTGTTTCAATCCCTCAGAAAGTGTAGGGGCCACTGTCCCCTCCTATTTAATATGTTTAGGATTTCTAGGAGTTTTGTTATTCTAATAAGAATCGCTAATAAACAAATGATTTATTACTTCAACAATTGAATTATAAGCTAAGCAAAGGCACAAATGCAAATACCATATAATTTTGTGACAAGAAGTCTGTAATGTAATGTATTAACTTTAAATAAATTGTATTTCGTTTTAGGATACAATTTATACAATTATTTAATAATTGATTGGCTATCAAAAATGTGCATTCGATGAATATATAAACATATTATTGTTAAAGTTAAATTATCTTTTGATCTTTTTTTTTCATTTTGTTAAAATAAAATTATATTTGATTCTTATAAAACCTTCTGTATCTTAAACACTACAAAGTCTATTTTTAATAAAAAAAATTTGATGATACGTTATTCATTTCAAGATATTTCCCAATCCCATACCCAACAAAGACCAACAAAATAAATAAAGCAAAATATATTATTTTCCCATTTATTTTCCTCGTTTATTAAAATTGAACAATATGGTTTAATAATGTGATACAATAATTGTGCATTTTCTTATAATGTTATCATCTCTATATAAAATCTTATTCATTTATTGCAGTTAGTATCAACATTTTTTAAATTTCTTAATTATATTTAAATCATTTAGTTTATAGGCTTGGTATTATATCATTGTTATGTTATCTGGCATATAATAAAACTATCTTATATGTCAGATTGCTCAGCTATGATTTAAAAAATTTAACACACTACTCAGAAGCCCATAAGATCATATTACCAACTATTATATTAACAAGGTGTTTAAGCTAGCAGTATTCTGTAACCTCACAGATCCCTCTGGACCCCACTAAGCCAATATGTGGAGACCTAGTGACTAAAAACACTCCACCACCCAAATATAAATCAGTAGTACAATTGCACTGCCCCCCCCCTCATATGGAGGGTTAGTCCCTTTTTCTGGAATATACAATTTGTTAGTTTGGTCATATGGAATAATTTATTATAAAAATGCATGATAAACAAATTATTATTATAAATAGGGTTTAGGGTTTAATTTTTGTCTGAAGGGTTGACTTGAGAATAGATGGGCCAAGCAATTCTAAAATCATCAATAAAAAATAGGCTTGACCTATAGCCTAAAAAAATTTTATTTACATTCTTTTTTACCTCACTGAATATTACTATAAAAAATGAATTTTAAAAGCAAAAAAGATTATATGTTTAGGAGCAAGTTATAAATTAAATAAATAGATAAACAAATTTTCAATTACTACTGCTTAACATTACAATGGAAAAGAGAAGAGATTAGAGAATAATATATGTTATATTTATAAAAAATTGGGCTACACTCAGTTTGAATTGCTTAAAAACTTGGTGGATTGGGGGGGGGGGGTGATACTAGGCTTAGATCTAAATATAACAACTTTTTACTGCATTGGCAGGCTAGGGCAACAAAATTGATTTTATGGGTTTAGGGCAGTCCTACTTGTCTGATAAATTTAAAGAAAAGAGTAATGATTTAACATTATTCTAAATCATGTATGTATACAATTCTTGGTAAATCAACACATGCTGAAAATATATTTGGTTCAAAAGAAGCATTTCATTGGGCTAAGTTTTGGCATGAGCTATATATTGGAGATACATAAAACCTTATGTTGGTTAGGGCCTAGTTTCAAAAGTTCCCATTTATTTTTTTTTTAATTTATTTAAAAAATAGCTTATCTGTCCAATTTAAACAAAAGCACATATATGTGTAAGGACTAGTTTATATTTGGAAATATGAATGTTAGAAATCTGTGCAGTCTAAACCAGGCTATAAAAATTTTTGGCCTGGGCCTGACAAATTGTTTCGACTATTTTATAGGCCTGGCTGAAGTTTTAAAATTTAAAACTGATGATTAAACAAAGTTGTGTCATTTTAGTTTGCAAAAAATAATTACAGGACATTCTAAAAGACCTGATAGATAATTTCCATGGGCTGGTTTGGTTCAGACCATGCGAACCATTTATAAATGTTTAAATAGTTCTTTAATATGGGCAATTTATTTATATTGCTTGCTTGTAACATGTGCCCAATATAACTTTAAAAAAACCTATAGTCTAATTGTTCCTAGCTATTAAAATTAAAGATAAAATATATATTTAGCAGTGAATAGAACACTGTATTGTATTGCAATTAACATTTTAATTTGCATGTTTTTAACATCAGGTACCTACATTATTTTTATTAACTATATATATATATATATGTGGTAATTTTTTTAATTAGATTTAAAGTTGCTCAATTGCTTAAGATGTTATTGTGAGAATGAATGCCCTCAGGAATTTTACAGCATTAAAGATCCTAGATATAATCATCAAAATTACAGTAATTCCTGCTATGCTCAACCTTCCAGTCAATGTTTTGCAGCCGTTAGAATAGAACATGATCCTAGTACCAAGAAATATATAGAAATTTATTCCTATGGTTGTCTTCCACCACACGAGAAAAGCCTTATGCAGGTTTGATTTCTTTTGTAAATAAATATCTAATTTTTAAAAATTGGGGAAATATGAAAAGTCTACTTTTACTGCCATAATTTTTAGGGGTAAGACATTTTGAATATTTCAGATAAGCAATTGGATTTGAATTTCAAAGATTAAATATAAAAAATATAAATCTAAAATTAATTTTTTTTTCATATTTATAGCACGGGTCAAACCATATTTTACAGGCCTACAATTTTTTTTTAAATACCTGGGCTGGGCTGCAGGGGCGTCGCTAGCCTTCACAATCTCAGGGGGCTCAACTAAAAAAAAATTATGGGCAAAGCCCCCCTTAACCACCAATTTGGGGGCCTTCGGCTGGGTTTTATATGAATATATTATACTTTTTTAAAATTTGTTAACTCTGAACAATTATTCTGATTTTCATAATTTGATATTTTGTCATTTATTATATTATGCATACAGAATAAACTGGCATATAAAAAATCACATAATGCAATAATATAATTCTTAGCAACTTACATTGACAAAAGGTTATCAAACTAGTATAATTCTCTGTAACCATTTTAGACAATGTTTTATAGAATCGACTAATAAGGAAAAATTTATAGGCTTAAACCAAATCAAAAATTTTTGTAGGAGAGATTATAAATGACCAATCCAAATCATAAAACTATATGGTTAGAGCTTCCTCTTAGATGACATTATTGAAGCTAGATAAGTAATCAAGAAAATTATTGTGAGATATTAAATTTCTAAAAGATTATCTTCCATTTTAAATGATATATAAACGACTACACAGTTGACCATTATTGTTTATCTAAAATATGCAATTATATGCTCTCAGCCGTTATAGTAATAATCTTAAATTACATAGCAACACAAATAATAGATGCTGGTTAATTTGGCAGTAATAGCCATGACACTCACGATGTAAACTAATATCAGAATTTATTATGTTGGATAAATTGATAAAATAAAAACACTAAAAATCTTTGGAAGAAATATTTATGCAAATATATTGAAGCCTGGTTGCACGGCAATGCCATATTAGAAATGAAACATTTTCTAACTATAAAATAAGGACCAGAATGATATGATGAAACAATTAAGATTTTATATATTGTTGCACCACCTTAGTATATTATATCTTAAAATAATAGCAGTTTGTAATAATATCAAAAATTTACTTGTATTAAAAATTTAACTCAAGACTTTTTCGAAAAAGAAAAAAATAGCTTTCCTAAAAACACGTGAAAAAAGAGAAGAAAAGATATCAAATTTATTACATCTATTGCAGGATGAATAATAAAATGTTTAATTTTAAAAATTATTTATAACTAAATAGATGGCGTTAAATACTTGAATGCCAATATTAAATTTGTTAATTTTCAAATAATATATGATTATATTTATTTAATTAGGGTTAAATAATAAAAGTCAATTAAACTTCAACTGTTAAAGCTAAATTAATATTTAGTGAGTTATTTGATATTATATTTTTAATGCAGAATTTGATTGCTAGCTGACAGTGAAAATATAATTCATATGTATTAATCTAATCTAATAATTAAAATAATATTCATTTAATAAAAATTTAAATAGTCTTATTAATTTCTAAATAATAAAATTATATCTATATATTACTTAATGGAATTATAAAAAATCATTCAGTGGGCAATCAAAAAAATTTATTTTTAGTTCAAGGGGATATTAAGGAGCCATTTAAAAAAAACTTGCTTCAGGGGGCTTGAGCCCCTGCGCTTCCCCCTAGCGACGCCACTGCTGTCCTGAATATTTTAAATTGCATTATTCTTAATTACTGATTCAAACAAAACTATATTATTTATAAATATAATTAGATAAAGAAAAACTTTATTTTCCGTTCACATAATATTTCTTAAACTATAAAAATTAATAAATATAATATATATTTATAAAAAATCTGGGCCAGGTCGTGCAAAGGTCTCTGATTTATAGTAAATATTGTTAGTTATTAAATTAAATTCCAAAAAATAACTCAATACGGCTATATATATTTTTTCAAAAAAATAGTGCTATATTAGCTATCCTCTAGTATGGTATATTCTACATTGTATACTAATTGTAAATTTAGTTTATGCATTGTTTTCATAGCTAATTTATTACTAATTACAATAATATAAGACTTTAGTAAGTGTCCTAGGTTGGCTTAATTTGGATACTTAAGTGCTATTTGGTATAGGCTAAAAAGTATTTGTTCGAGGACATCCTATTTTGGTTTATTTTAAGTATTTGGTGGCATTGTTATTTTTCATATTTTATTCTATTTTTTTTATTATGTTTTTTTTATTCCTTATTTTTTGTTTTTTAGGGCTGTGTAAAATATTGGATCGGATCGGCGCCAATATTTAGTCTTTTCCAAAAATATCGGATTGGGCCGATACTGTCAAAAGATGAACAAAAAAAACTAATTCAAAACACATACCTGTAAAGAAACTGATCCGATCTGATCTTTTTACTTTTCTTTTTTTTTATTATTTAATATATATATTTATTTTACATTAATAATATTTTCTAAATAATTTTTTTTAAACAATGCAAATGCACAACACCCCTTAAATTTTATTTATTTTATTAAATAGATTTATAGTATTTTGAAAGTTTTTTTATAAAAATAGAAAGGAACACCCAAAGTTTTATTTATTTTAAATCTTTTTAAATAATAACGCTAATATACCTTAAATAAAAGAATTCTTTTTAAATATGGTATCTGAATTATGGAAATATTTTACAAAAGACAAAGATAATTTTGCAAAATGCGTTATCTGCGAAATTCTAATTTCACGGGGAGGAATAATGAAAAATTCATTTAATACTACCAATATCCGTAAACTTTTTTTAATTATTGTAAAAATAAAACAATTAAATTAAATGCATATTTCGAATTTTTGCATAAAAAATATTGATTTCTTACATTTGGTTCAAAGGGGAATGGTGAAATATCAATATAAATATCGATCGATTTTGAACCAATATCGTATGGGATCGGATATGTAAAAAATATGTGGATTGGCATAGCCCTAGTTTTTTTAAAAAAATTTTTGTTTTACTTTTTTGGCTATTTAGCCGATACTTAAAATACGGCTAAGTATTAATCTGACCTAGGACACCACCTTAATATTTAATTCCTATAAAAATAATAAATTTTAAAAACATTCTCAGATCACGTTAAATATAGGATTTTATAATGATACATAGTTTGTAAGGTATATGCTATCGTCCTAATTATTTGAGGAAACTCTTTCAGGTCTTTTATTATTTAAGGATATAACATATTTTAGAGGATTGTTTTGAGGCGAAAATAATTTATAACATTATTTTTTATAGACTAGTCAAATTGACTTGCTCCAAATTTTGCTTTTAAATTGATAAATGTTTAATAGCCAATATCTTAAGATTATCTGATTCAAAAATCACTTCTCAGTTATAGATATATAGCTAGCGTATTGAGTAAAATCTTTTTTAAAAAATATTTATTCATTATGTCTATTTGTTAAGGACGATAGTCTAAAAGTGATTCTAACTGCTAAGTATTAAAAATAATTTAAAGAGTTATGTATAAAAAACGAATTTATCAATTTTATAATAATACCTGATTGGGTCATTGGGAATCTCTAATTAAATTTATTTAACAATAATTTCTTTATTTCTTTTACTGTAAAATATTAATTTTATTCCGAATTAATAAATAATACGTTTATTTTATGCATTCTTATTGAGCGGATAAAAATTCAACGGTATTTCTTGAATAATAAAATTTTAAAGTTCTTCCAGCAAGTCTCAAATCAATTAAGTTAAATAATTTGAGATCCTGTTTTCCCATTCTATTTCAACATGATAATTAAAGAATTTTTGTTAGTGCCACTCACACTTTCTAGCTTTATTAAATATTAATTACACTATTTTCATCATAAAATTCAAATCGATCTTCATTAATATTTATTTCTTCTATGAATATAGATATAATTATAAATAATAAATAGTTTAATATATTATTTAGTAACAATAAAAAAATATAATTTACGCCACGCTTCAGGTGAATTTGCGCATCGGCGGTGGTATGCTTAGCGCAAAATGACCCCAGGTGATGCACAGATATAGATATAATCTTTTATCTCCCTATATTGAGTGTATAATATCTTCCCCGCATCACTTTCTGTAATTCGGTTTCAAACCCCCCTCTTTCCATTCACTTTTATTATTTGGATGACGAATAATTTCTATATAAGTAATAAAAAGTATCAATGTACTCATACTTTATCTATGGCATACCTACTAGCTTATAAGTTTAAAAGGGTTTATTTTATTATATATTTTTTTTCGCCATATAATGTCATTTTTCAAAAATATAGTGTCTTCACTTTCATTTTTTAATGGGACACCTTCTGACTAAAAAAGAAGCTCTAATTCCATGTATGAAATAAAATTTTATATTGGATTAGGATTCTATTTTAAAATTTTGGTATTTTGTTTTTGTATCCCTCATTGCACAGAAATGTTACTGAATGTCGACCTTGATTAGCTTGGAATTTCTCTAATTAAATTTTTTTTAAATAAAAATCGCACTTTCTTCTATTACAATGCGCTTAAGATTTTTATAATATTTTTTTTAGTGTCGCGGAGATCTTGTGCCCCACTACCTCCCCAAGAATATTATATGCTGCGATCACGTGGATATGTGTAATCAAGGCATTAGACCACCTTATGAATGGAACATTAAAGAAGTGGAGAAAAGTAAGTGTTATAATTAAATTACATGAATAAATTATAGGTTGGGGTCGTCCTAGAGGAGTAAATTCTAGTCTAATATTATTAAGTATCTCTATTATTAAGAATAAAAATTACAAAACAAAAGGTTTGTCATTATTTCTCAAATATAAATCAGTAATACTAATTATTAAAATTTAGGCATGTCTTGATCATTTAGATCCCGAATAAATGATGAATATCTCGCAAATAGAAAATTTGAAAAAGCTTACGATAAGTAAGAACTAGGAAGTTGAATTGGGGAATATTCAAACTACATAATATACTTCAGCTAATAATAAAAATTCTCTAGTAAACATGGCATCATATTTAAGAGTGAAATAGACGGAAAATTTGTTAAATTCTATACAAATTAATTATATTTTGCCATCGAGTTCGTATTTTGCTAGTGATTCTTAGTTCGACCTTTCCCAGAAAGAGGTGGTTGTATGAAGGGGGCAGAAGGATTAATATTCATTCAAGTCAAAATTGATGAAAGACGTACAACATTAAAATCGGTAAGATACCATAACCTTAGCTTCGGTGAAAAAATAATTAAAACGATATTAATTCGTTTGAATTAGGTATCGCGGCGCAGGAAATGAATTGTCAGGCCTTGTTTATGGTAATCGCGAAATACCTCAATGTCGCTCAGGCGATTTTCATCTCTAAACGATAGCATAACTGTATTATGCATCGCTAAACAATAGCATAGATGTATTATACATCGCTTTTGCAGCATCTAATATCCTAAAAAAACTTATTTGAATTAACTTTAATATTTTATATTATTTTTAAAAATATGATTTGATTTTAGGACCAATATATCCGAATAATTAGAAACCTTGTTGCATATATTATTATTATTTGTTACCCATTAATTAATTTATAATATGTTTAAAAATAATTTTCAGTTTTCACTACAAGGTAATATTTTTTTTCTGGATTAATTTTCGCACATCAAAGGCTCACTGTTTGAAGAATAAACAAAGTGATACGCATTCATTATATTTTATTTTAAATGAAGCTGATCAAATAAAAGTTATATTATTTTATAGGTTCGAACCCGAACCCAGACGCGCACTTTGCAACCATTTTGATCGTTATCGTGATTGGATTCGCATCCTTATCTAGCCTCATTTTATATTTGTATTTCAGGTAATTATTATTTTAATTTAAAAGAAAGCTAATTTTAAAGATAATTAATGGTGTAAATCCTGGTGTGGAAATAAAATTCAATCTGATGAATCAAATTTTTTTTTTAAATATTTCATCTAAACATTAATTATCATAATTCATCACTACAAATCATTTTACATTTTACTACAAATTAGTGATCTGCAAGCCTAATATCCTGGCCGGGCAAATTTTTTTGTCCGAACGTATTCTTTTTATATTTGTCCCGAAAAGCCCGACCCAAAATAAAAAAATTATTTGTCCACCCGCTCCGGCTCGAATAAAATTAAATATTTTTTTGATTGTAAAAAATATTTTACAAATTAAAAATATTAGCGCCTTGTTTCTTGCAAGAATTTTATATATCAATTCATTTGACTGTAATGATATCATAATTTAAAAATTTAGACCCAGCCCGGCCCGAAACTTTTAAAAAAATATTAGGCCCGACCTAGCCCGAACTGAAATTATTTTTTAAATATTAAAAAAAATTCATCAATTTATTTGATCTCATATTTGTAACCCTAAGAAACAATATTCAAATATATAACTAGTATTTCTTTTTTAAATATAAATTTCAACAATTTATCATAATATTTTAAATGAATAACTTTGTCAGTTTTTTCTAGTCTAAGCCTGTTTATAAATTTGAATTAGACAAAGGAAAACATTCTTTATGCATAAGCTGAGGAAGCTGCTACACCAAATAGTTGATTCAAAATTGAGTTTATTTCTGTGTTGTTAAAATATTCTCAAAATCAGAATTTATACTCTTCAGCATGTTTTACTCATTATCCAAACTACGCCTACAACCGTGTAATTAAAATTATTTTGTATTTTATAACTATTTTTTCAAATTGTAAATTTAATTTTCTTATATTTATAAAATGTTTAAAATTTACTTTTTTATGTATTAATATAAAAATATGAAGAATTACTTTTTAATATAAATAAAGATATCACTTAAATAAGATGTAAAAAATTTTATTCATAAATCCATACATTTAAGGATTTGGTTATATAAAATCCTACTTTTAAATGATTTAAATTTTAAAAAAATTAATGATTTAAATACGTCCTAGTGTAAATATTATTTGACTCAGAATTTAAATTGTAAACAGATAATAAAGAATCCATTACTTATAATTGAAGGTATAAAAATTATTTAATATACATTGGGTTAATATTTAAACTAAGATACCCTACCTTCCTCGCCCAAATATCCGTTCGGCCTTAAAATGGCTAAATTTAAAAAAGCCTAACCTATCGGTGGAACTTCTGCAGGTCCCCTGCTAAAGTTAAGGAGGGAAAGAAAGCCAGGGATATTTTGAATCTTGATTGAGAAATTTTATCAACTAAATCAAAATTGATTATAAATGAACGAATATATTGAAATATATGTTCCTGTAAATAATTGTGAATTTCGAACTAGGTTTTTTCCTACAATACATTTATTAAAAATAAATCATTGGGCATATTTTTTTTATTTATCAGATCAGACAGAAAAAGTGTAAATAATATATGCAATAATTATTAATGAGACAGATGCTATACTTTTTCAATTTTTTATTTATTCCGAAGACGAATTTTCCTAATTATGAAAACTCCCAAACCAATTATTTTCCTCCTTGAAATAGTGCCGATATTATAAAGAGAAAATAAACATTATATTTATTATCATCTATGGCATTTTTTTAAAAAATATCAAATATATAATTATATTAATCATGCATGGTCAATTGTAAGCTCTATTTGAAAAGGGTATAAAAGATTATCACGTAACCATGGCAAATCAAAAGAATGATTTTTTTTAACAGACTCAAGAAAATTGACAATTTAAGGCTCATCGTGAAATCGTTCTTCGCATTCAACAATAACAAGAGCAACAAAATTAAAAATATCCATAAAATCGATAAGTTTCACGTCCAAAAACAGGGCGTAAATAGTAAGAAGGTGATTCCATCGGGGGGAGCAGACGATTCCGAACAAGAAAAGATGGTTGCTATTAACGGGGGTTTCTCTAAAAGTTTGATTCGCGAACTCATTGATCAAAGTAGCGGGAGTGGATCTGGCCTGCCTTTATTGGTATAATTTTCATTTTATTAATAAAGTCAACCAATATGTTGAAATTTAATTCATTTAAAAGAGGGCTGTACCGATCGACAAATTTTTTTACCCATCCGATATGTTGCTACAAAACTGATCCCATTTTTCAATAGATTTTTATTTACCATCTATCTTTGAACTAATGTTATAAAAACTCAATATATTTTCTATTTAAAAAAACTAACTTTCACGATTTTGCCTTGAAAGAAAGAAAGATTCTCCAAAAGTTAATAATTCCATTTAAAACTTGCAATGTTTATGGTATGTCTGAGTAATGTGACTTGTTAGATATATAATATATATTTAATTAAACCCTTTTTTGCAAATAATATAACAATAAATAATACCCAATTTTTAATAATTCGATTTTTTTTAACATTATATTTTGGTTGCATTTATTTATTTTTAATATTAGGGAATTATGTATAAATAAAAAATATTTAGATAAACAATAATTAAAATCAATGAAAGATATTTTTTGTAAATATCGGCCCGATCATATATTTAATATCGCCATAGCCCTTAATCTAAAAGTTTTTATATGGGGAAGCCAAGATTAACAAAACAGGCTTGCATACTTACATTTTCTAATCAAAAATATAGCTTCTTTATATTTTGTATCTTTTAACGCTGACGTATATTATTTTGGAACTTATTATTTTAGAACGATAATAATTGGCATCATTGTCAAAGATATAAAGTTGGGAAAATGGCTAAATTTAGTTTTTTATAGCCTAAAACTTTCTAGCCTTTTTGGGCGAACAGGCAAAATTCTAACGGAAGTCGAACAACTCACAAAATATTTTATTCAAAAGCCGATCAGGCAAATTAGTTTTTCTGACGAGCCAAAAACCTTGATCGTGCAGATCTCCAATACAAACTTAATTTTATTTAAAAAAATAAACACCTACAAAAGGTTCAAAGAACCATAGCCAAGCAGATTCAGCTGATTAAAATAGTAGGACATGGTCGTTATGGAGAGGTATGGGAGGGTAAATGGCGGGACGAGAGCGTGGCCGTCAAAATATTTTTCACTACCGAGGAGGCCAGCTGGTTCAGGGAAACCGAAATTTACCAGACTTCTCTTATGAGGCATCAGAATATTCTGGGTAAAAGCATTTTTTCGATAGATTAATATTCGTGCTTTGTTTTTTATACCTAATTATCCTTAAGTTAACTTCTTGCCTTTTAGATATTTTTTTTTAGAAACGTCGCTATAACTAGTAATATTATAACAATAATTTCCCGATTTTTACACAATTCCATCGTGTACTTTCGACTTATGCCATGCCAGTTTAAAGTTTCGATTTTTGGGACCTAATTATTTTTACGTTCGGTTTACATAAGTCAAGCTAATAACAAAATATTTTATATAACCAACTTGCATTTTTTTTTATTCCCTTTTCGCTCTTTTTCTTGACCTTTTAATAAAATCTTGTAAAAAATTTCCCTCAAAATTAGGATACATAGCAGCAGATATTAAAGGTACCGGTTCATGGACTCAACTTTTCCTCATAACAGATTTCCACGAGGCTGGTTCTCTTTACGACCATCTCAAACAAGCTATTCTAGATCCAGCATCAGCTTTGAGAATAATCAAATCGATCATATCTGGGTTATGTCATTTGCATACCGAAATATTGGGAACTCAAGGTGATTAAAAAAATGAGGAAGTTAATCTATTATTCAAGCCGATATTTTCTGTTTTATTAACTAAATATTCATATAATAAAGCTTAATCAATTATATAAAAAAATATTATTTTTTAACAATCCTTAAATATGACCTCCCACTTCCCATAATTCGGATTTAGGCCCATAGATCTACGCCAATATATATTTTTTATTTTGTTTATAAATTAAAATTGTATATGTCTATTCAATATTGAACCACATAGAATATAGGAATTAAATGTGATGTATTTAAGGATAATTATTTATTTTTCTCATTCACAAAACCCAACTGAGCTCAGCTTATTTTCATAGGTATGGTTTGAGCCTTGTAATGAACGCACAATTTTATATATGCTTTATGTTTGGCTTGTTTACTTAGATGTCAATAAATAGCTTATTAATAAGCAATGGCTGAAACGTGGGGGAAAATATCAAGAATTTATAATAAGAAAATTCAATTAATTATAAATATTAATTTTATATGACTTTTAATTGCACCAGAATTATAAACAATTTTGCTAATTTCAGGTAAACCAGCCATCGCTCACAGGGACATGAAAAGTAAGAATATATTGGTCAAAAAAGACGGAACAGCTTGCATAGCAGACTTGGGACTGGCTGTCAGATTTATCAGGTTAATTCTTTTTCTTTACTTTCTATCGTCTCTTTTTTTTCGCTTTTCTTATTTAAAAATAAAAAAACTTGTTTATATAAAATAAAGCGAAACAACCCAGATAGACGTTCCAGTTAACCCCCGAGTCGGTACCAAAAGGTATATGGCTCCCGAAATTTTAGACGACACTTTCCAGCCCGATAATTTCGAAGCTTATAAAGCTTGTGATATCTACTCATTTTCATTAATCATGTGGGAAATATGCCAGCGAAGCATTACTAATGGTTTTTTTCATTTATATACATGTTTTTTTAGACAAGAATCAGTTGTAAAGAAAGATTTAAGTTGAGAAAAAAAGTAATAAAGTGAACATATTGTATTAGAATTATTTTTAAAGAAAAAATTGGCATTTTATATATTGTACAAAAATGTTTTTAAAATTGATACCAATAGACAGGGTCGAGGAATACAAAATTCCTTATCACGATTTAGTTCAACCTGATCCATCCTTCGAAGAAATGCGACAAGTAGTGAGTTACAAAAAAATGAGGCCCAAGATTTACTCAAGATGGACGACAGATAAAGTTCTTCTTTTCCCTTTTTTATTTCCATAATTCAGGGCCATTATTTTTTTTGTGAGAACTATCGTACCTGAAATTGATTGATATCTGATTTAACAATTATAGCTTGGCTTAAATTTTATACACTTCCCTCCCCCGGGTTCGGCAATCGATTTTTATCCAAATTTGGGGGCAAAATATTTAGTTTTACGAGCCCGGATCCCCAATTTTACTATTGAACTTGGGTAATTCTAGAAATTTACATTTTATAAGTATAATTATTTTCGGTTAAGGTTCTGAAAAGTTCCAAAAAATATCATCGGATAAAGGCACAAAAAATAGTAGTTTTCTAAGTCACATTCAAACGAGTATTTTTTTTAATACTACTAACAAATCGGAGATGAGTTTATTATATTTTGGTGTCAGCCTTTGATACCGGTTAAAAACTAAATAAAAATTTATTGAAATAATATTTTTTTAATCAAAGTTTTTGACCTCCCTGATTCGAATAATGCAAGAATGTTGGAGACCAGAATCTCGGGCTAGACTTACGAGCTTGAGAATCAAAAAATCACTAAATGACATCAAATTAGAAGATATTGTCGCAGTTTAAGTAACTCTTTTATATTGATATATTAAATAATAAAATGTTTGGGAATTTGTCTCCGAAATATAGTATAAATAGCATTAAAAACTTTTAACTCTCCCATTCATATTGTCAAAAAATTTGAAATAATAAGGATTTTTTTTAATATTTACAATTACGAACCAAATCAAATGTCTTCAATATAAAAAAAAATTATTGCATTTATTCAAACTTTTTTTTTGAGTTTTCAATCTCAAAATAAATTTATCTCAAATAGCTCTATGCAAATACTTTTTTCTCGCTACTTCCAAATTTTAAACGAGAAATCTTTATATAATTATATTTTATTTAATTAATTTTTTATATATTTAATAACTCTTTATGTTCTAATATGCAAAGTAGTTGTGATTTTTGATACATTTCATTTATAAATAATTATAACTTATGCCAGTTTTATTAAAAAATATTACATATTTAATAAATAAAATTATATTCGAAGAAATGTTTATAATATGTAATATCTGAATCGACCATTTATATATGTTTTTTTGTAATTTTTGTTATAAAACCCTATTGCATTTATAAATTTTATTTAAAACTATGTTATTGTATTGGATAATAAATAAAACTAATTTATAATATTTATTTGATGTGATAATAATTGCTTGAGAGATAAAATCGTAAAATATGCTTATTTAATTTAAGAAAATAATTTTTTGGGGGACTGCTAAAAAGATTCATAAATTTTGTTTCAAGCTAAATTAAATATTAAATTTAGAATAACAATAAGTCTGGATTTGATAGAGGCGTGGTACTCCCGAATTAGAGCTCAGAAATATAAAATTGTTTAGTTGGAAATTGTGAGACCAAATACTAAATAACCAATTTATGGGCAACCTATCGCGACCCCAGGATTATATGAACCCGGCGGATTCAGGCCTCTTTCAAAATATTGGTTTCGATTTAGCCCCTTTTATCAAATTCCGCTAAATATAGTTTTAAATTCCTAAACTCTAATCTGGGTTCACAACCTTGAATAAAGGTAATTAATTTTTAAAAGTAATCAAATACTAAATTATAACGACATAACTCTTCATAATTGGTCAATTACTATATTGAGCTTCGATAAATTTCAGAAAATGTGTAGTTCATTGGTGTAGTCCACAAAAATAACGAGAAAATTTATTAAACAGCAAATTTATGATTTTATTAGTGATATAAATCCTGTTTTGATAATGGTAATGCAGGGCTAATGAAATGATTTTGTAGTCGGGAATAAAATTAGATCACTGCTTTCTAACCCCACCTTCAGCAAGTTATTTATTTATTTGATAGAAAATTAAGCTTGAAAAAGAAAATTTCAACGTAGAAAATCCGTCATAAAATTTTTAATTTATTTTAGTCGTTTACAATTTTCCAGAGAATTTTAAAAAGGGAGATTTACTTTTCTTATTTACACCGTAGTTAATAAAAATAATCAAAATTAAAAAACATAATAACATGGTAAAAAAGGGTTAGAGCCTTAAAGCACATATTTCTACATGAGGTACAAAAATGCGCTAAAGGGAGGATGTTTAATTTACTACCAAAACTATATATAACCAATTAACAAGAAAAGGGCATCACTTTCGCTTATCTAGGAAGGATAAAAAGATGTCCTTTAGATAATATATAAATAGTGGCCGGGAACAATGTGTCAATACCATTAATAGGAGAGCCAGTATGGTAAAAAGGATCACCAATCATGAGTCTTAAATACAAGAGTCAGAAACCATCGACATAACATTCGGGACTTCTACCATTAAAGGGAGGGGGGGGGTAGGGGTGATAGTTTGATTTCCTCTTTTTGATAATTTTGTTTTCCTTTAATTTTGAAGGGGCATGAGAGTAATATAGTCATTGGCTTAGTGGTGTAGAAGTTCCTGCTATAAGAAACACTAGAAATAAGGTGATGTGTTCTCAACTATGGATATTATTCAATACCGCTTCCCAATTAAATCAACTATGAAATCTCGAAGCGTAAAATTTCGCTCATAAACTCCAATGACATGACTATAGGGCCAATCATAAGTCCCAAAAATCTGAAAGAACCCACCATGTAAACACTAGACCTATTAAAAAAGGAACAAAGTTGTGAATTATTCGTATTCAACTCGTTAATAGAAAAATACTTCGTACAAATAATCAAATTGGCCTTTTTAATATCATAAAATAATTCCGACAAAATTTCTTATGTTGTTTATTAAAATATTTTACATTTTTGTGTTTAAAATTCCTATTAAATAGGATAAGTCCTAAAATTGAGCTGATATAAATATCAGATAGGTTTAAGAAAATCAATTTTATTTTATATTCAGACCGGGAACATTAACAATGAATAATTATCTATTATTCCGATATATTCAATAACCTTTAGTTATTTTATTTGTTTAGAAAAAGATCATAATATATATTTTTTTAAATTGGATATGTTTCAGTAATTTGATCCTTTTCGACAGACCATAATCTCTGAATTTCGAAATATTTAATAAATAATCAAAATTAATAAAGTCATCGAAGGTTGAACGATTTTGTTAAATTAGATTCAAAATCGATAAATGATTTTTGAAAGTTTTCCTTTCTTCCACTTATTATATTTTCTATTAACAGCTGCAAATATCAAAAAGTTTTAAATTTTAATAGCGTTGGCTCGAATATTTTTTTTAAAAATCAATTCTTTTCCAAAATCAATTATTTTTCAATTCAATCAAGTAATATTTGCATAACTTCTATTTCATCCTTTAAAAATATACGATATTAAAATCTTTTCATCGATTGGAAAAAAAAATCAATATAAATTCCTTATTTGAAGATCGGTTGGCAATTATTTATGTATGCGCGCGGGCATGAGATAGTTTTTGAGCCGGTATGAATATGGCACAACATTATTTTTTTAAAGGATTTTATATTTAATTAAACTATATTCATTCAATTTATATCAACAAATTCATAAATATTTTTATTTCCAAAAGGGGGTCATTTGACAAAAAAAAAGGAATACACCATTTCATTCATTCAACATTTCACAAATTGTGTAGAATAAATAATTACTTTGCAAAATAACAATAAAAATTCAATATATTATATTATTATGCCTAGCCTTTTATCATTGTATAATAATGTAAATAAATTTTTCATTGAAAAAGAAAAACTTTACGAGATAAAAAAGTGACAAAATAATAACTAATTAGCTAGATTTATTTTTAGATACACCTGATTCCTTAGACCTGACAATTTTTATTTTCTTTATCTCTTGTAATTTGATATTATTTTCGTAATAAATTGCTTTCGCCAAATGGCAGAATTATGGGCAATTAAAATATTTATCAAGATTAGATATATAAAGGGGAAAAAGAAAGAATTTTATTTAGGAGCGATGCATAGTCGACTATGATTTGCGTGGTTAAGCTCCATATTAATATACAAAATGCCATATAAAAAAAAATTGAATTCCCAAATGACTTAAAACAACGCTGAAGCCCCTTTAACAGCAGAAAGTTTTAAATCGGTTAAAAAAAATTTATTTTTACGTCTAAAAAAAATATATTAAAATTACTACACCAATGTGTCATTTCACGAATCCCGACACTAGTCAAGTAGTTTTCCAAATGTAAAAGCAATTATGTTATTTATTATTTATTCACAAAATTATACTAGTATTTTTTTTATAATATTATCATTGTTATATAATTATATTGTTTGAATAAATCATTGTAAAAATATGGATCAAAAAAACAAAGGTACTTTTTCGCAAAAAAATTATTATTATCAATAAATAATTATGAAATTTTTTTTTGAAAATGAAATAAATAAAACAAATTTTGAAGATACAAAAATATAATTTAATAAATATTAGCAGTTCAGTTATATATTTTGCTAAAAAAATGACAATAAAAAGAATGACAATTTTTTTCAACTTGAGAAAAAAAAATGTCGAAATTTTACAAAGATTTTAAATGGATTTGTATTAATAATTATCAAATATGAATTTATGGATGATCACAAACTATTTATAACAATGGGGAGAGGGGAACCGAAACCCAATCAAGTTTTGAGCTTATAAATTTTTAAATTGTAATGTAAAAAGGTTTTATTTTAAATAACATTGAGATTTTAAAATTGTATAAATAAATAATAAACATTGATATATTTGTTTTATAAAATGGCGAGTGTTTTTATAGGTATAATATAATTTTTTTGCTAAGGTGATGCATCATAATACCACAACATGCAATGCATGTCATAATTAGAAATAACGATTCGCGTGAATGTATTACATAAATAGTCTCAAAATCTTTACCTACCTTCAATAATTATCAAGTTTCGGCTAATTGAAGAAAAAAATATTTAAAGAGATTATTATACAAATGAGTGGTTAAATTTTGGTTATTTTTTTGTAAAGTAAGTGTATATACGAGAGAGGTATTAAGATTGGCTTAATGTCTTTCACCACTTTTAACCTTTTCTAATACTTCGTCATAGCTGACCTCAGCATCATCGGTTCCCTGAATTTCGCCTCCTATTCCGACCAATTTCTTCTTTATCGCGTCTTTACTGCTGGTGTAAATCATTTTGCGCTTGATTTTGGCACTACCCGGACACCTATAAAAATGGAATTATCAAGAATAAAACGAATGAAAAATAATTTTTTAGCTAAAAATATAAATGGCATAGGGTTATGTCCTAGATTAGATGATAACGTGCAATTGTAATAAATATCAGATCTACAGGCCAGGAAGTCAGATTTAAAAAATCCGGGCCAGACTTTAAAAATAAATTACAAAGCCCGGTCGAATTTTCTAAAATAAATGATTAAATATGATGCCGAATTAACTTGTAAAAAATTATTATATTACTTTTTCACAAAAAAATTTTGTATCGGTATGTATGACCAATATTGTATCAATTACAAAATTAAAAATAATCTCGCTGATTTAAGTGATGACAATCTTTATGCCAAAAAATTAATAAAATTGTAATATTTTTTTATCTGATTTATATCCTTAAAAAAGAACGTAAAATAAATAAAAATAATTTAAAAAAATGTAGATTCGGCTATTACTATTAGTATCATATCACTGCCCTTAATTATTCAGTAGTATCATGAAAAATTTTTATTTATAATTTTAAATGAGTTTATACTAAAAATAAAATATAGCTTTAAAAAATTATTAAATTAGAGCCCTACTAATCGCCCAAAGCTCAGGCTCAAAAAACAATTTTAAAAAAACTTAAGATAAAAAAAATGGCCAAAAAGATGATTGATGATTTATCTTTTGGATTTTAAGGTCAAACTCAAGAATAAATTAAAATTTTTGAGGGGTTTTTAACCCAGGTCACTTATAAAATGTTTATATTTAAAAAATACGAAATATGGTATAAAAGATTGTAAGATAAATTTAATGGAGCTACTTTTTAAAATTTCTAATTATTATTAACCATTTTTATATAAATTATAATGTGCCTAGGGATCCTGTAGCTAGATTAGAGATAAGCAAGGTCCGAATGAGCCCGTGAAGAATTTTAAAATTTTATTAGCTTGACTGGTAATATTAGCAGCCTTTACTTTCAAAAAAATATTTTACACCCTAGTTTAGGGTTACCAGATCCTACTTAGTGGAAAATATATTTTTTAATGTGTTAAAGGCAAGAAAATATTAATTGATTTTATTTTTATTGCATATATCAATAACATTAAATATATTATATAATTTTCACTTGCCAATATTTTTCATAATAAATTTTGTCTTTTCTCTAAATTTTAATAAAAATCTTGGCATAAAAATGATTTAAAATTATTTTCTGCATATTTCATTGCTCTTATAAATTCCACTGATAATGTATTCCTCTCACTTGTCTACGAATTAAAAAATATTCTTTTAACATTAGCATTATGAGCTGGTATAGCAAAAATAAGACTTGCTTATGATTAGCAGTTCTCTGTGTTGCTCAAGGATTGGAATATTTAAAAAATATTAAACCCATTTCTGATGGAGAAAAATTTGTATATTCTTCACAATTCATTTTATTAGTAATAAATAATTTAAGGTTGCAGAATTGATCAAATAACTTTTTGATTTAATTAACAAATTTATTTTTAAGAAAATTGATAGAGTTCTCTAGTTCTGATCACTTTGGAACATTTTTAATTTCCATCTATTAGAAACATTTCAATTCTTAAATGCCAAAGTGCCTTCTGCTCTACAAACTTTATCTAGATTTGTGTAATTAGATATAAATTACGTTACTTTACCCGAATTAGCTGCATTGTTGATCCTTTGATGATGTTTATAAGTAGCTAAATGTTGTTTTATATCGGCTTTACTTTTGATACTGATTGAAAATGAAATATGACAGGATAGACAAGATACAACATTCTTATTTTCTTTGGCCACAGGTTGAAATTTAATTCATTGTTTTTTGGCATCGTAATTATAATGATAAATATTATTTTGATATTGAAAAATAAATAAAATTGTTTTATTAAAAGTCATCATAAAAGTTTTAAAAAAAATTAATACAAAACCGTTAATTTAAATTCTATGAATAAATTGCCTTTTTTTTGGAGTTTTTGTTTAAAATATTTAAATAAAAAATAGGTTGAAAAAAATAGAGACAAAACTTAGAAATATATTTTTTATATTTGATTTTTATGAATAAAATTTCAAAAGTGGACCCAACATGGGGAAAAAATTTTTGTCTTAAAAAAATATTTAAAAGGAGGATATATGAAAATAGATACCATAATATCTCAAACGAGAACATGTCTTCTTTAAAGATCTGGTAAGCCTATTCTAGTCCCATATTTTATTATGCTCATCAGGCTATAGTTTTTTTTGAGAAGGAAAAATCATAAATTTACATTATTTAAGGTGGTTACAAAAAAATCCGGGCCAACCTAGAACAAAAAATATGAGAAGCTGCTCGATTAGCAGATCTCTACCCTAGATCCCACCAGAATATTATATATTTATTATATATTTTAAAAAATATATATATTTAAATTATATCAATTATCGTGTGGAAAATCATATAATATAGTGCGACCTAATTGAGCGTTTTCAAAAAAAGTATTAAAGCAAACTAGATTTTATGAATGTTTATAAATTTTGATCAATTTCATCGATAAGATTCGAAATGCATTGTTTGCGTTTTGCATGAAAAAATGGAAAACGCTCAATTAGCTCGAAATAATAGTGAATATTAATTTAATGCTCTTATTCCCTTTTGAAAAAAATTACAGAAAACAACCAAAATTATTCAAAATATTGAAAATTAACTTCTGCAGAGATTTAATATAAAGTTTTCCGCCTTTTGGAAGTAGCAAACTAATTAGTAATTTATTCCTTTAGTCTTTAATGGTCTGATTAGGACAAACATAATTCCAACCCAAAGCATTTTATAAATTATGTGAAAATGGTTATTGAATATCATTTCAAAGCAACATATTAGATTAAATTATCATGAAGTTTATATCTAAAAACAACACAAAACTGGATTATCATTTTTAAGAATATTATTTGAAACCTTTATTTGTTAATTAAATTTATAAACTAAATTAAATGTTATTAATAATGAAAACTGTCAAATTCTTTTAATATAGAGTAATCATAAGGCTCCTATACCCCCCCCCACCTATAAAGCAAAAAAAAAGAAAAGGTAATATTTGTAGAATTTGCTCACCCTCTCTTCCTCCCTTTAATTACATAATACTAAAAGTTTATTGCAAAATTCAAAAAATAACTAAAAATTGATAGAAAAAAAATATAATTTTTCATAATTATTTTATCTAAATAGTATTACAAAAATATTGATAACGTTTAAAATTGTTCAAATGAAAGGAATGAAAAGAAGCTAAATGAAATTAAATGATTAAATGGGTTTCTAACAAATAACTAATTTATATTTTTTGTATTCAGCGATTTTTAAGTTTATTTTATTAATTAACTTTAAAGCCCCTTAAAAGTAAATTATTTAAATTTAACTTAACATAAATTGAATGATTTGAAATTGTTTATTATTAACATAAAAAACAATTAGATGAGAATTTTATAAATAGACGATTTTTTATACAAGGTGAATGATTCTACTATAAATAGGTGAGCAAGCAGAAAAATCTTAACTTGGAATTTATCCTGTGTAAATACTTTCCCCCAAATATCAATATTGACCAGGTGCTCAACAAGATAGAATAAATATTCCTATCTACCAACATAACGTTTTATCCTGATCGTCAGCATTCTTGGCTAAAAATTCTCCCTCTTTTTATAAGCCCAAAAATTAAGCTCTTTACAGGAAATCTTCTGAGTTTTATATATTAAAAAATAAACAAAGAATCAAAATTATTTAAATTCTTAACAATTATCAATGTCTAAGCATGACTTTAACATTTTTGATGACAGTAATGGAAACAAAAAATTTGTACTCTTAAAATTGGAATAAAAAGGCCTCATTCTAGTATGGCATAGAAAAAAATATCAAGCAATAAATTTCAAAAAATAGTAAATAAATCAAAAAATTTAGAAAAATCTTGCCTATCAAAAACCTTAATTTCAATTTATTATAGGGGAGACCGGGGTAAAACGATTGACGGGGTAACAATGTTAACGCGAATAACTTTTTAACCATTGAGTATAAAGACCTTAAATTTGGTGTGAAGATGTATTTTTATATCTAATTTCTTACCTATGTTCATCTTTTAAAAAACTTACCTGGTTTTATTTATTTTGTCAAAAAACTGTTTTTTACCCAAAAAATATAAAAATCATTCTCTAGTATATTTTGCTTTTAGTAAAATTTACATATCCTCAGGATTCAAAATTTGGCACACATGTTCCTTAATGTATTAGCTATAAAATAAAATTTATCTGACATCTTTAGCTATATTAGAAGTCACGCAATAACGATATTTATAATATATGTCACCTAGGGGTAAAGCTGTTATGGGTAAAACGGTTAAAATATAAAATTATTCACATTAATTTTTCATTAATTCATTTATTATAATTTTTATTGTATCAATCAAATAATGAGAAATTATAAAAGAAAAACCATATACAGAGATGTAAATATAATAAATGAAGCCATAAAATATAAAATAACAAATAATACTTCATTAAATTTGTCTGCTAAAAAATTTAACATACCTTATACAACGTTGAGAAGGAGATGTAAAATTGGTATTAAAAGTTCAGATCATCATAAACAAATATTTACAAATGAAGAAGAATCTAGATTGTGTGACTATTGTTTGTATTATATTGTATTTCATAATTTTAATAACTCAATTTAAATATCAATATTAATTTGGTAACTTTAATAAAAATGCTCAATTGAAATTATATTGTATTTCATAATTTTAATAATGCTCAATCTAAATATCAATATTAATTTGGTAACTTTAATAAAAATGCTCAATTGAAATTATATTGTATTTCATAATTTTAATAATGCTCAATCTAAAAATCATGTGGGGCAACAATTTCAGATTTATGATATTCCAGGAGTGTTAAAAAATGAAATACCAAGGGCAGTGACATCAAATAATATATTAAATGGATTCTTAGCATGTGGCATATTTCCTTTAAACCCAAATATATTTA